GACGCAGAAGGAGGCGGAGATGCAATTTCCGTCTCCTCTTCGTTTTCCTGCCCATCCCCAAAGATCTCATCACTTCCTTCCGAAGGGAGATCGATCTCCATGTCCGAAGACGTACGACGGGTACGATCTTCATCCAACGGGCTGGATTCGGGGATTGGAGAACCGCGTCGCGCACCTGCGGAAGGCTGCTCTTGAGTCACTGGCTCCACCGGGACGGGATCATTGTTGTTTGCATTTTCCATTTCCACGTCTTCCATTACAACATCTTCTTGAGGAGCAGCGACAGGAGTAACGGGTGGCGGTGCTTCCGCCTCCGGTTCTTGTTCTTCTGGATGAGCTCGAGTGTACGAGTTTTCTGCTGCGACTGCTTCATCTCTCCATTCCTCGTCGGCGTTGTTCCAATAAAGATGTGCGTAATCCCTCCAATAGATGTGCCAGGGAACCCACAGATTCCATTCTACCTGCACATACTCCGTAATGTCGTTTAGACGATAACAGTCGTCGCTGGCGTGCGTGGTATTCCAACCATGCAGTTGACAGAAGTATTTGCACTCCCTACGCCGCGCGTGGGAGGGATCATGTCTCTTGCTCCACTTCTTGCTCGGAGTACGTCGTGCTAGCAGCCCATTATTGCGTCTTCCACGAGAAACTGATCGCCTCCTTCTTGATCTAGAGCGTCTCCTTCCCGACCAATGTTGATCAATGTTGTGGTGATGGAAGTCGTTGTGGTTCTGCGCCGCGGAAGACGATGATGATGCAGCACCCGGCAACAATGCCGGAGTAAACGCCATCGCTGGGCTCGGTGCGATTTGTAGATGCACATCTGCATTATACCGCTCCCCCGTTAAGGTAGTGCCAATGTCCAGCGGTCCCAGTGCTTGCTCCTCTTGCATCAATGCCAGCGCAAGCTGTTGGTCAGCCACCACTTGTTCATAAATCGACTGATCCAGCGGCTCAACCTGAGACGCCTGTTGTTGCAGCTGCGACGAACCGGTTTGAACGTCTTCATTTTCTTGCCCCGCCAATTCCGCGGTTACATTGATCAGGTGGTCCAGGGTAGCAATGTCCAGATCGGGAAGAGCATGGTCCAAATCAGATAAAGGCAGAACGTTCTGCGTGGCCGATTCTGGCTGCACATCTGGACTGTGAGCCGGAGAGTTGATGGTCGGAAACGGGGCAGGCAACGGCATGGAGGGATCCCAATCTATGTCTTCTCCGAGCTGAAAAGGAGGGTAGCGATGGTCGTCATCGGCAGCGCTACTGGCACTGCTGCCGCTCGCTGATGTGCGTCCTCCCACAATGACACTGCTATTTCCCAGGAAGCGAGTCAAGTTTTGTTGAGCTTCCGTCGGGGAAATAATTTCTTCAATTAATTTTTCAGGACTCACCGAGGCAGGGAGTTCTTGTTCTGGAGATGGTTCATTCCCATTTTCGTCTCCACCCTCTTCATCTGACTCGGTTGGCAGCAATGTTTCCTTTTTCTCCTTTTTCTTCGTCGTACCCACTGATGAAGACGCAGTTGTATTTGATACGTTTGTCGAAGGCTGAGCTGAACTGATGTTTGTGGAGGGTTGAGCATGAGTCGTTGTCGTGGTAGAAGTCTGAACTGAAGTAGCAGTTGGAGACGGTTGTACTGCAGCCGGAGCGACTGGGTTGTCATCTGCGAACAGGTCATCTAACTCGTCCAAGGCTGTGGGCACAGGAGCGGAGGCAGCTGCTGCTTGAAGGCCCCGCATGTACTTGATAAAATCAAGCACATTGTCGTTTTCCACCATAGAGTCGGTTAAATAATCCCAGGTTCGATTCTGCCCGTCAATTGTGTTGACAATCACTTGGGCCCACTCCGTGAGTTCTGTTTTGTCAACAAAACCGGTGTCCTTTGTTTGGTACAGAAACCGGTCGAATTTTTCCGGATTGTATCCTTCCAACGTCAACGTAGGTTTAGACGTCTTCCAGAAAACCCGCAGACCCTTTGGCCACCGCTCTCCCGGTCGACGAATAATGGTGATCCGCAGTTGCGCATCTTCGTACACAGTCGACACGTAAACTCCGTCTTCCAACACCTCTCCTTCTTCCACTCCTGCTTCAAGAGGATCATCTACAATAAAGTCGTTTAAATCATCTCCGATGTCTAGAATTGGTCCGTACTTTGCACCACGAAGATCCACTTGTCCTTCTTCTTCCTCTTCTTCCTCCTCGTCATCATCCTCGCCATAGGTAGGCCAAAAACGTCTTTCCGTTTCCGCGCGACGCACAGCTCTTTCTTCTTCACGGTCAAAGCTGCAGCCGCGCTTCCGCTTTTTGCTGTTTTCCTTGTTTAAATATTTTTGTTGTTTTCGCATTGCGTGCTCCTCTTCGTCCTCATCTGACTCCGTGCACGTGTCAGATCCCGAGCTGTTTGAAGAATCAGACCCGGAGCTCGGAGGCTTACCGGCACACAGACGGTTGATCCTGGACATGTTCAACTGTCCAATTTTCGCCTTCGGCTGAATACGTGGACGAAGTTGCGGCAGCGGAAATGGTCGCGGTACACCAGAAGATGAAGACGATGCATGTCCTTGTGCTACATTCTGGCTCCCAGAAGAAGAGCTTGCTCCTAAAATCAACACCGGAGGTGGAGGCGGGGACGGAGCCGGTCCTGTGTTCGGAGTGATAGATACATTAATAATTCCCGCATTTCTTGGTGCTTCTCCTCCTGCGTTTTCTTGCCCTTGATCCGGGACAAAAGCAGGAGACCGGTTGCCGTATTCGTTGGCTTCATCTTGGACAACCGGAGGGTCACGGGGAATATCCTCGATAGCAAGAAGTCCTTCTCCTTGTGCGTTTTCGATTGCTAAAAAATTGTTGTTCTCTTCCTCCGACTCCGAACTATCAGACAGCACGTCTCTCCTTCTCCCTTTTCCTTTCTTCTTTGACTGCTTCTTCCCGAATTTCTTTTCCTTCCACCTCGCCTGCCGTTTTGCCTTTAGCTGTCTTTTATGTCCACTAGACGTACGCGGTCTTCCCCTAGCCGCCTTCGGTTTAGCCCCGGGGTTGGCGATCACAGGAGCAGCCGGAGCCAGCTGCTGAATCCCTACCAGATTACCACTCGGATCCAATATAGGGATAAAACCCGCAGGAGTCTGGAGCTGACCAGCAGCGTTATTTCCTTGCTGTTGCGGCTGTTGTTCCTGCTGATTCGGCAGCGCCTGTTGTCCTGGAGGCAGTCCATGGCTGCGTGGCTGCCTCTTCACCTGCGGCTTTGCCTTGGGCTTGGCCTTTGCCTTCGGCGGCATCGTGCAGGAAGGAGTCAGATTAAGTTAATCTTTGGGGTTTATTTTCGAGATACAGCAAAGGAAGTTTTTTTCAAAATGTCGCTTAGAGAGTCGCTTTAAAGTTGTCGCTGTAAATAGTCGCTGTATTTAAAAGGATGCAAAGAATGACTGCAGTGGAGATGTGTCGCCTGTTTCAAATAAGTAGCGTTGATTCACTTTTTTGCTTTTGCTCCAATCTTAAATCTTTTTGTCGCCTGAAGAAAGATACAGCCGCTTGAAAATGATTTTCCCTGAAAAGAAATTCTTAATGATAATTTCAAAAACAAGCACGACCACCAAAACCGCCAACCAATGAGACAGCAGCTAAGATCTGCCCAATGCTCGCACGCAGAAAGTGTAGATCTTTTTATGAGAAGACGCTTCCACAGATGATAAAGACGTCTTCTTTTCCTTTTCTGAGTAACTTGCTGAAGAGTTCATCTTTTTGTCACAAAAAATAAGCACGAAGATGATCTCCACGCGTGGATCTTTTCGAAAAGAGTTGGCCACTTATTCTCTTTCTCTTCTAATTGTTAAGCCTGAAGCTGTTCCCTGAAAAGAATAGGGACTTTTTATAAACACCAATAGAAGACTTATTGTGACTCTTCCTGACTTCCCGATACCCACGACGCTGGATCCTTTTCCGGCAGCTGTCGCGCAAACCGCTGCAGGTTTCCTCGTTCTTACACAATTTCCAACTTGCTTTCACCTTTCCAGAATCTTCGCGCAGGAAATTCGGTGGCAAGGGGGAAAAACTTTCCCGCGGTATCTGGACCATTTTTGACGTTGTCCGCGTAGCAGCGGATGCCTGTACCGTCTGCATACCAGGTATGGCGTTCTCCCGTAAGAGATGCTAAACCTGGCCCACCTTTCTGAGTGAGTGCCCCAAGTAACTGCTTCCTTGGTGCGGTGTGGTGTATATACAGCCACGCCGCACGGTCGCCCGAGTACAGCCACAGCGGACGTCTTAGCCGCAAGATATCCACCAAGTCCAAAACTTCCCGTATTCCTGCTTCGCCTTGGCAGAACTTTACTGCTCCCGTGGAAGTTGTTGCCAGAAAAGTTTTGGCCAGTTTCGCAGTTATTGCTGGTTTACTGGTGAAATCTGGGAGGATTTTGACACTAGGTCACAGTATTTTGGACCAGCTGTGGGCCCGACAGTGTCATTCTTTTACAAGGAGCGGACCACTTGTTGCGATACTTTGCGCCGGGAAGCTCTCAGGTTGCGATATTGTACTTCGGTGGGCCCTGTGGTTGCGGAATTGTCCACCTGCAGGCCCCAGGGCTCTCCAGCCTGGAGGATACATCATTTTGCGCCAGTCGGCCCCCGGGACGCAGTATCTTGTGCCGGCCGGCCCCGGGAGTGCGGTCCTTTCCGCCGTCGGGCTCCGGGATCGCGGTACTTTGCGCCGGCGGGCCCCTGGGCTGCGGGGTGTACGGTGTCGGCGCCCTTCCCGGTCCGCGACGCGACCCGCCGCGGAAGCTCCCCCCCCCCCGTCCCCCGCCGGGCCGCCAGTGCCATCTTGTGGTCAGCTGGCGCGGGACTGCTTCGGTCATCTCGTCCGGCGAGAAGCGACGCTCCGCGGCTCCGTGCCGGACGCCACTCGGGCACGATTTTTACAAGTGTTCTGCGTCCCTTGGTTAGCAACGCCCATCAAGTTTCAGCGCCTGTCCGGGAAAGGAACCGCCCCCAACTCTAAGCAATGCGCTAGTCTTGTCGATCCTAGAGTTAAGTGCTGCATCTGAAGCCGACTTGGTTGCGCGACCGAAGCGCGGCCAGAGTGCAGGTCTCCTCGAGCTGGAGCCGTTTTCTCGTTCTTGTGCTAGTTTGAGTCGTTCCAAGGCGGCCGACTGTCTTCTTCTCTATTCAGGATGTCGTGGGGCGGCGGGGCCGACTCGCCGGTTGGCGCCGCAATGGAAGCAGCAGTCGACGTCGCGCAGGTCGGGTTGAGCACCGCGCGCGCATTCGCAACCGCGAGCCCTATCCTCGGAACAACCGCGACGGTATTGACCTTCGTGTTTCTGCTGTCATACGTGCCCTACGCGCTTACCTGGCTGCGTTTCGTGGTCTACATGATTGTGTCCTCGGACGCAAAAGGGCTGAAAAAGGCGAAGCCCCCGAGCGCCGCGCAGTTGCAGGGGCGGGTGATTCGCGAGCGGCAAGTGTACTTCCTGCGACACGGTGAGAGCGAGTGGAACTGGGTGTTTAACAAAAAACCCGTGGTCGCAGCACCTTTCAGGCTCGTCGTCGCGTTCGTCCGGGAACTTCTGCTCGGGTTTGCCGACTCGCTGTTCCTGGACTCCCCGCTCAACGGCGAAGGTATACCTACCCTCTCTCCGAAGCCAAAGACCCGCCGGTCACGCGGTTCAGCTGCCATCTAAGGCCATGTACTCATCAAATGCTAGGCACACATTTCTCGCACAGGCAGGGTTTGTCATTGTGCAGGCGTCGCGATCAAAAAAATGGAAATATGATCTCCCTAGGTCTGCGCCAGGCGTCAGAGATGGCGGACGATGTCGAGGCTAGGGTGCCCAGTGACGCGGAATTTGTCACCAGTCCCCTGCGACGGGCAATCTCAACACTGCTCCTCGCGTTCCCACGTCGTTTGCGCACGAAAAAAGTGCGAGTACTTCACTGCCTCCAGGAAATATCCCGGAACGTGGATACAGCGAGTACAGCAAGAATTAATTTTCAAGAAATCTCGGCCTGGTGTGCATTCCGTCTGCTTTAGGTGCTTACTTCTGGAAAGGCAAAACGAACGCCCTTCACCCCCACTTGCCCCCACCCCACCCAAGGTATGACGCAAGCCCGAGAGATTCCGACCGTGAGCGCCGTGGAAGAGGCCAAGTACCCGGTGTGCGCGAGCATGTACCGGCGGAACTTAGACGTGTCGCAATTCGATGGGAACAAAACGCTCTCACGGACGGGGTTGACGCGGCTTCGCGAATTCGCGGGAGAGCGGGAGGGTTCAAACTCGGTTTTCCGCGGCACGGGCGCAGTAGAAAAGCCCCTCGTCGTCGCGGGGCACTCCTTGTGGTTCAAGCACTTCTTCAACCTGTACCTTCCACCCACCGAGGAGCCGGAGCTGGCAATGCTCGCCAAAACGCGGAAAATTGCTAACGGGGGTCTCGTAAGTTTCAAACTTCAGCTGTGCGTCTCGGACACGACCGGCCAGCCCTTCTGCCGCATTCCGGCAGGCAGTATCCACGAAGTCTACAAAGGCTTCGAGCGCCCTAGCAGCAAGAAAACCGCGTGAAGAAGTAAAACAAGAGGCCGCCGAGCGACAAAGTGCCTTCGGGGTAATGCGGCCTACTTATTTGTGGCTGCACTCAGACTCACTATGCAAGAGCACTAGTTTATGATATGCGATGGAAGGTTTCCTGTGTTGATATGGGATTGTGAATGAAATGGAGCAGAATGTCAGAAAATGAAACTGTATCCAGGAAATGAAAACAAAAAGTTAAAGTTTTTAAAAGACGTTCGGCTAACAGCGAAATAAAATAGGATTGATTCCCATGCGCCGGCCTACTGAAGTGCACAGCGATGACCTGGATTGTGGCGCTTATCCATCATAGACTACGGCGTATCGATTTATTGAGCGTAGACTCGTTGCGCACTACTATTTCTGGTAATGGTCGTTCGCCAGTATCATGCTATTTTTGGTGTTGGCGAGTAAGCGTATCGTCCGCCTCATTAACTACAGCACTCTGTTGCCGAGTAGCGGCGATTGCGTTGCGGTCGCTACCGAGGCTGTGGAATTCAATGGTACTGAGGCTGGGACGTGTATGTCAGTGATTTTGACCTGGGAGAGCCACCAGAAGAAAGAGGGTTCGGATGAAATGTCGCTTATATATAACAGCGACGCGCGATCGCGCAATTCTTGTCGTCGAACCGTCCGCTATTCGCCAGACATCAAATTTTCGTGCGCAACGGTCGTTCCGCGCCGACACAGACACGACCTGCAACTAGCTGATTTCAAAACGTAGAAGATTCGATAGAGTCTGTCTTTGCCTGTATTTCGGGTTGCCTTCACTCAGTTACACCTCACCACGACGCACCATGGCGCCCACCGAAGAGATTGACGTGGAGAAGATTCTCGGCCCCCCGACGACGGGGTCGGCGTCTTCATCGTCCGGGTTGCCTATAGCGCCGCGCTTCAACAAGGAAGATCTGGAGCAGATGAATCCTGCAGATATGACTAGAATAAAACTCTTGAGCCAAGGCACTTGTATTTTTGATAACAAAACAACGGCGTTATGAATCGCAATCGCTACACTGCACAATTCACGCTCCTGCGCCCTAAAAAGATATAACACTCGTGAAGGTGCGACCACGAGAGGTGAAAAAATAAATGAATCTGCATTTACCGTTCAAGATTTTTTTCTGGTGATACAGTAGATTGACCGAGCGTACCAGAACTTTCTGCACGATGTGGACGATGTCTCGCAAAAGGTCAAGGACATCGTGTCCGGGAAAATCACCGACTTTGACGCCTTCGACCAGCAAGAGGCGGCGAAAACCGCCGAGACGGAAAAGCAGAAGGAGTTTGAGAAGAAAGTGCGCGAGCTCCGCATTGCGGAGCAGATCCGGAAGAGCGAGGAGAAACTGCTTTACGGCCGTGACGGCAAGGGTCAGGCGGACGACTACCTGCTTTTTTGCAAGTTCTGCTTCACCGAGTACCTGACCGACCGCTTGGAGAACTGCACGCGCTGCAAGAAGGGGCCGCTCATGACCAAGGAGGCGCGCCACAAGGAGCTGTACGCCAAACTGGACGACTACAAGGAGGAAAAGGCGAAGCACCAAGTGCGGAAGGATAAGTGGGTGCGGTGGAAGAAGTCCCAAAGTCTGCTGGGCAAAAGCAAGGTGATCAACTACAAGGCGTGGGAGTACTGGGAACCGGATTCGGACGGGGAGGACGAAGAAAACATGGAGCCCGTTTTACCCAAAGGTGAGCTTCTTTGATAGAGGACAAAAATAGTACTGAATTCATCATGCTCGTCCAGTTATAACTACGTGATGTTTTATTGCGCCGTTGTTACAACCGGATATGACATAGAGGGACCTGCTGCAGCCGGTTGTAGATGATGCACCCATGATGTCTGTAGTTGAAATTATACCCTATTCAAATCGAACACAATGCTGTACTCGCAGACGATCCGCAGTTCAAAGCGCTGGACGCTGACATGAAGAAGCGCAACAAGGAGCGGCAGGAACGGCACCTGCAGGCGACGCGGTGCAAGGATGAGGGGAACGCGCTGCTGCAGAAGGGGGACTTCGTGAGGGCCATCGACACGTACCAGCAGGGTCTGGAGTACCAGAAGGATCTGAAGCCCTTGTGGACGCTATCCTGCCTAAAAACGCACAACACCTCAGACTTGTCGCGCATACATACTAGGGACTGAATTTGCTTGTCCCAGCACACCTGTCACTTGTCTGGCGCTTGTACAGCAGCTCGCCCTGGCTACAATGACCTGGTCTTCTCAGTTCTATTTTTTGGATTTTGCATTTACTACATATCTGCCTTGTCGAAAGTTTTTTTGCTCTAAAAATCACATAGTGGAAGCGGAAGGGGATCTTTGAATGCTGCTGCAATCAATTTTGCACGCGACTGCAACGCTGCATGTCCCAAGTGGTCGCACCCGCGCAGTTTGTTTCTCAAGTAGAGTGTCCATGTTTGTCATCATGCGCAGTTAGCAATGAAGCTGCTGGATTTTTTGTCTAGTGGAGGTGCTTGCGTCGTGCGTATGGGGTGGGTACGTACGGCTTTGCGCAGGATAGACGAACAAGGCGTTGGCAGAGGTGAAGGCGTACCGGTACCAGGATGCCGTGGACAGCAGCAGCAAGCTGCTCGAGCTGTGCGAGATCTTCGAAGACGGTTTCGAGAAGTCCAAGGACCTCTGCTTCAAGGCGTTTTCGCGGCGCGCGCTCGGGTACCGGGGGTTGCACGAGTGGCAAAAGGCCGTGGAGGACCTGGAGGAGGCACTGAAGCTAGACCCGAAGAATGCGGAGGCGAAAGCCCTGCTGAAGAAGTCTAAGGAGGCGGCGGCGGAGGCCCGCTACTCTGCGGAAGTGCGAAACCGCCTCGCCGAGGAAAAGCAAAAGCAGCAGGCCTTCCTTGCAGCCTCGTTGCAGGAGGATGTTTCAGAGGAAAAGAAAGACGCACCTCCCGCAAATTGTGCCTCCTCCTCGACGAGAAATTCGAAATCTTCGTCGGCGACGACCGCGTCGGAAACGGAAGCGGCAAAGGCGCCCGCGTCTGGGGAAGGCGGAAATGACTTTGCCATGCGCAGGATTGCAATCGAAGCGGATTCTTCCGACGAAGAGGACGAAGAAATAAACGAGGAACAGAAAAACGAGACCCTGTTGCCGAAAGAAGAAGATGAAAATAATGGTACCGGCAAGGTCACGGAATTATCCTCGACTGCAGCAACAAATAACGGGTCCTCATCTAGCTCGTCGTCGTCGTCGGCTAGATCGATCAGATCCGCCTCCGCGACCGCTATTTCCGATTTATCACAGCGCGAGTACCTGAAGCTGATGGTACAGCTGGAAAAGGAGAAGGAAAAGCGAGTGTTGTTCTGCGCGCGGGCAAGCACGGAACAGAAGTCGCAGCTGGACCTGCTGCTCGCAGAGCTAGAAACGCTCTCTAACCGGTGGAAGACGCAAAGTGCGGACGCAAGCGCGACGAAGGAGAAATACGCGCCCAAGCAGCAAAACACAGGGGACACATCGTCGAAGCGCGCAGATGAAAAAGCAAGCGAAACTACGCACACCGTGGCTAGCATCAAGCGAATCGTGGGCCTGCTGCTTCCTCTGTGCGGCGAGAGCGACTTCCACTGCGAACTTTGCGCACCAGCGGCACGGCACTTGTGGCCAGTCATATCGGTGGCCCCCTACGACATCTTAAAGCTGATGGATCACATGAGCCACCGGGCGCAAAGCAGCCAAGCCATGGCGGTACTACTTACATGATTTCTTGCCAAAGTTTCTTACGGTACTATCCTTGGGCGAGGCGTTTGATTCTACTCGACCAGCAGAGAGACTATCCCTAAGACTCTCATGCAGGATCTTGGAATGTTGGAGCTTTGGCTTTCACCATGTTGCCCCAGTTCACTTTGCGTTGCCTTGATATGAATGTGCTATTTCTCGTCACTGAAACAACCAATCTAGGAATTCGTCTTGCGGTATCCCGAGAGATTGGGTCCGTTGTTTGACGTGCTCCGGGTGGATTCGAAGGAAAACCTGATGCCACCACACGCAGAGAAAATTCTCGAGCGACCGGAGCAGATTCTAGAAAACGACATGTCCTTTGAAATGATGCTGCAGCCCTGCGCGCGCGATTATGTTCTGGCGGTAAATGATTTGTTGGCAGCACTTCTGTAGATAATATTGCCTTTGGCTTTATCATTTATCGACGAGTACAACTCTTGATGAAGCCCCACACTTTCGGGTTTCGACGGAAACGGGGACCGCTTTTGCGTGTTTATGTATGAATGAATACCTGTCATGGCAGAAATCAAACTCCATGTTGCGCCGTAATCGAATTGACAACAGATTCTTTGCAACCTGCAACTTCACTGCAAGAAGTTCCGAACGGTATTGGTATCGGAGAAGGAGCTCATCATCGAATCCATCGTAAAGAAACTCGATCCCATGAACTGGAAGAGTGCAGCCCTGAACCTGTTTTGCAACCTTGTCGCAAACGAGATGGGAAAGACCGACGCAGTTTTCACGACTCTCGCAGTGGAGGTACGACTTTTGAAAGCAAATTTCTCAACAAAGTACTCTATATGCTGCTGCTGCCAGCAAAATCGGAGAGGAGACCGTTCTGATGTGCCGGCGTGCACAAGACAAAGTCTCGAACCTCTAGCACCTCCGGATACCAAACCATGCTCCATTGTACACCAAGTAAGTAAGTATAATAATTCAATATACTAAAAAGCAATAACTGCCCTTCACAGCGCTGCCTGGACCCGCTGCTCAACGTCCTAGCCGAGTACGCGAAAAACGAAGGGGTAACACAGCTACTACCCTCAGGGCGTCTGAGCGACTTGAAAGAACAGTATCTTGGCGCCCTCCAGAATCTTGTAAACGTTTCGGCCGCTGCGCGACCTCTTGTCGCAGCCAAGGGGAAGGAGAGCCTTGCACACTACCTGCAGCACGGGACCGACGAGGGCCGAATGCGAGCCGCAAATATCTCGTAAAAGACCGGTTTTTATAAAATATACTACGTTTTTGTCATTGAAGGCTAGCATTTTCGTCGGAGATCATCCGTGAGCTGGTTTCGAGGAGTAAGTATGATTTAAGAACTGCTTTTACGATGCTGCCAGAAAGTTTTTCACACTTTATGCAGGCAAAAAGTCGTTCTCGCGGAGCCAACCAGCGTCACGGAAGAGTTTGCCGAGGTGCTATTTCGAGCGGTGGACAAGGCGTTTGCTTTCCAGGATATTGTGAAGAACAAGGACCACGGGGAGGTGAATCTGGACGACGAGGAACAAATGAAGTACCTCGAGGCGTACGTGAAACTTGGTTCCAGCTGCGTGTGCAAGGTGCCGAAGTTCCAGCTGCTGTTCGTGCGCGAGGCACCGGCGAGTCCGGGCGCGGTCGACCCGCGCAAGACCTTTCTGCCCAATCTGGTGCGTCTCGTGTGCTTCCTGAAGCCAACGGAGTATTGTTCCCCGACCGAAACGGACAAGGTGAAGAAGATGCAGACGAACTGCCGCGGGAACCTGGCGGTGCTGTTTGAGAAGCTGGTAGACTTTGAAAAAATCGGAAAGAAAACCTTCGGCCTAGGCGGCGTGGTGGAGCCTTTTATCGAGTACCTACGCAAGGAGAGCGGGCCGGCTCAGAAAAATGCCGGCGTTTGCGTGACGAAGCTCGCCGGGTCGGAGACCTACCGCACACTTGTGCGGAACTTCGGGGGCTTCGAAAGTCTGCAGCAGATCCAGTTGGGGTTACTCCAGAAGGAAAAGGAGAAGCCGCAGCCACGCCCAGACTGGAAGCCGCTGACTAGATCGTGAAGTAGAACGTTCTTGGGAGTCCGAGAAGTTGTAGACAACGTTCTTGGGACTATCCGCGCGCCAATGTGCACGGCTTTGTAGTCACACCTTAACAAACTCGCAAATCTGCCTTCGCGCAACCCAACAATATCTTCGCGAGAAGAATTTCGCGAGAAGAACGCTGGAGGTTGTTGCTGCTTCGACTGTCCAAGCTCATGCGTTGATGCATTTTTTACCTGCGGACTAGAGAGGCCTTCCGACGAGGGGTTCGTCATTGATCGTTTCGAATAATCTTGCCTTCCACTGGTCGGTGGCCTGAACATCTCTTTCCTGCTTATCTGCTTCGTGCTCAAGAATCTAGTTCAATTCTCGATTGTGCTTACTGGACGGAGATCGGCACTGGTTTATTTTGGTGACCTAAAGTAGATCACAGATGAATATGATGAGCATCGTATGTTTTTGTCTGCTGCTACTTAGATTGATCAGCAATGTTAACGAAAGCGAACTTATTCCGGATACCTACGATGGCAACGTGTTTGCCCCGAGCTGCTGGCTCTCCAAAGAAGTCGTGTAAGAAACGGCATGCAATGTAACGTGTCGACTCCAGGACACCGCGTAATTTTTTTCGTTTTTGCTTTTCCAGTTGTTTTTTGTCAAGCGAGGCTAGCTCCGTACTTCTACGATCAGCTACTTGGTTACGTTACAGAGCCAGAATGGCGCTCTAGTCATTTGTACCGAAGTAGTCTGCGGTACTTCTTCACCCCGAACAAAAATTCACGTTCGGGCGGTATCGGGGAATTCGCCCTGCTTGCAGATGGGATCCGGCGATTTCTAGGGCCAGTCGGCGGCACCGACACCGAGAAGAAGAATACCACGAGCGTCGACGGGCTGCTCCGCAGAGCTTGGCAGCGGATCCGTCAAGTTCCCGAACTGCGAGAAGGCATTGCCAAGTATGCGCAGTTGCTTGAAGTGCAGCCGTTCCTCTCTATCACAAACGACGTCGCTCGCGATCTGTGGCACTACAGCTTTCAAGTTCCTTTCGCAGACTTCCGACTGTTAGCCGCCGGCGTGCGGGCCTCGCTGCCTCCGCGCGCGCAAGAGTTCCGATGGCAGTGCTGTATCCAGAATGGCGAGGCGCGGGCTTTCGCCGCGAAAACACTGCTGGAGGACCCAACGAAAAGAAGGCGGGCGCTAGACATCGCGGTGCGCGACGGCGCAGCAAACATTTTTCTCCCGCCCCGCGGGAGCGTGAGGCCAAGTTTGGCAAGATTCTGCAAAAACTTTGGAGCCCCGGAAACCGATTTAGAGTTTGCAGTGTATCTTATTGAAGGTGTATACACCAATACTAATAGAAAAGCGAATAAACTTGCCTTGCGGCTTTCCAGGCAGAAAAACGCTTTAGCTATTCAGCATGCCAAGCTTTTTTGCTACCTCTCTGATCGCAAGCAGCATCATACATAAACTGCATCCTGCATGACAGTAAGTTGTGTCTGCGCATGACGATTTTAGGCAACACAAATGTATTTGCGATTGGTGTACCTTTCTCAATGATGCAGAGCTGAATTACGCATGCGACGAGGAGCCGGCTGGGTTCTTCGGCTTCCTTTTTCCAGCGCTGCATGCTGACGCGTTCGCGTTGTTTTATCCAAATGATAGTCCGCAGGTGGATAACCGCGAGGTGCAAGCCTATGCGAGTACAAATGCAACTTCTGCAACTTCTGCTGTAAAGACCCCGTTCGCCCTCCCGGTTAACTCGTACGAGGAGGGGTACGTGCGCGAATCGGTATTCCCGGCGTCTGTGAATAGCAAGGCTCCACCGGGCGCGCTGGCGCGGTACGAACCGCAGCTCCACCGTCTGCACGGAGTGACAAATTTTGCAACCGTCGGAGCTGCAGAAGCCCAGATCATTGGACCCACAAGAAAAGTTAAGCTATTCAGCACGATCCCGGTGGGGACGCGGCTGCATCGAGATTTTGGACCACACAGTGACTTGAGGGTGCAAGTATTCCAGTTTTTGCATGCCTTTGCAGAGTTGGGACATCAGCAGGTCGCCGTTGCGAGCCAGTACTTCAATTTTTTTCCCGGAGACGCCGAACCGCGCGACGCAACACCCTCCGTGTACTACAGGGGAAAAGGACGTGACGACGCCGCTCCTCTTCTGGACGTGGAGAGTGTGAAAAAAAGACGAGCAGTCCTGCACTCGAGCCACTATGCGGACCGCCCGAAAGAGCCGCTCCATCGGTGGGCTCCGCTGGTCGGGAGATGGAAACCGGCGTACAGTGAAGTGCTTGAACAGAGGAAGAAGCTCACGTACGGCACTCTGCCTTGCGATCAGAGATACATCCTGCAAGCGTGGAGCGACATTTTGCGAGCCGGACGTCGACGCGAAGCAAGCAAAACACACGAGCTGCCTTCATCAAGCGAACAGAAAAAGTGGCAACTAGAGGCGAGTTCGGCCCTGGCGATTGAATATGTGTTGGTGGTACTAAATACGATCATGCTGCAGAAGACCAAGCGCCAGTTTGATTCTTTCATCAACATGGGCGCCAACGATGGGTGGCACGAGGACCCGTTTCCCAGCTTGTTTTTTGACCGGCAACAAGAAATTCGCCTTGCGTTGGCCGTGGAGGCCAACCCTCGTGATTGCCAGCGGCACAAGCGAAACTGGCCGCGAATTCCCGTTCTGTGTTCTTCCGTGACGCCGGAAAACGTCGGGCAGCGGGTCTTAAGCGCAATTTTGGCGGCGGAAGGGTACTATGGCCCACGGAAAAATGATACCACCTTGTCGCAGGAGAAAGTGGCCGCGCGTCGAACACTACGCAAGTCACGAGGCTTGCCGGTCGTGGACATAGTAAAGATAGACATCGATAGCTTTGATTGCGACGTGTTACAAGCCTTGCTGCAGACTGTGCTTCAGCAAAGACCAGCACCCGGAAATATGTACACGGAAACCAACATGGGTAGCCATCCACGCGTTCTAAAGGAACTGCCGCCGCTGCCCAGTCTTATTCTCACGGAGGTGTACGATGGGGTTCCACCGCCTTTCCGTTTTTCCCAGAAGTGGACGCGTGCTGGGCGGAGCGACGAAACACGCACAAAAAGTGAGCTCCGAGATAGTTCAGACCACATCTTCCCGGGGGCTGCTTCCTCTTCATTTTCATCTCCTTACACCGCGGAGAACTTAGAGGAATTTTACCAGTTCGACGGCCGTGCTCGCAGCGGAGGCAGCATGCCCAAGCCATGGGGCTGCTCTCTCTCGTACCAGGCGAGGATGCTCCGCGGGTTTCAGTATGAGCTCATTTGGTACAGTGTCGGAAACGCGGTGTTTGCGTCCCCACAGTGGCTCGACGCGGTACAGTGGCCCGACCGCGGAGGCCTGAACGAACTGGACTGTGCACTCACGACGCCGGTAGTGTCCATGTGGCCCAGCGGGGACCAGATTCGACACTGGATGCTTGCGGCTGAAGACCCGGGCAGCGTGGCGGAGAGCATTCGCATGGCGATACGACAAAATTGGAAGCGAACGCATGGAGAAACGTCGGCTTTGGACTTTGTCGTTGAGGCGTAGAGACGCGAGCCGGACAGCGGCCTTCGTTTTTCCAAGGCGGGATTGACATGTGCAGTCCGATGAAAACTGTGGAGGTACGCGCGACAACGTGGTAGCAAAGTAAAAAAAAAGGCAGTTCCTGGAAAATATTTGACGCGGAGTTCTTTTCTCGAACGGGCTGGGCTCATGTGCATCGTGCGTTTTCTGTTCGAAGTAGTGCTGTTCTTACGTATCGCGAGTATGTTGTCGATAAGAGGGATATGTCGCACGTTTATGCCCGTTGGAAAGTCAGCTGCACCAACTTCCAATAGAGAGATTTTTCGCTGCTGAGAGAGCTCCGAGGTTCGTCGCCAAGCCAAAGAAGGTCGTGCGAATTGACACAGAAACAAGCCGTTTCAATCCGCGATGTAGGCCCAGCGATGCGAATTACGTGTAGGATTTGAAGCCAGATTTTGCATTCTTCAATGTCAGATTTTTTTGAAAAGCAGATTGATTTGATAAAAATGTCGTCCTCGCGCGGGTGGTCCGGTTTCGCACATTCTAAGAATACAGCGACTTCTCGAGTCAGAACTAGATCCACAACTGCCACGTCTGCTTGGTTGAGGCAATAAGCAAAATTTTTCCTTACTTACGTTGTCGAAGGAGCAGCCCTGCTTGTTGTAGCTGCCCGTGCAAATCTTCTTCCAGAACAACACTGATTCAGGTCCTGACTTTGCTTTTCCAGCATAGGGGAGAACCGCCCCTCGAAGGACCCTTGCGACAATACATCCGGCCACCTGGTGCTCGTTTGGCGGCTTCGTCCGTATCCGGGAGCGCGCGCTGGTCTGTGAAAATAGAGTATCAGAAGGCGAGGCGCACACACGAATCACTAGGTACAATACACATCGTCCCTGCCGCGCTCTCGTTCCTTTGATCATTCAGTTGGAAAACCGCGAATCCCACAATCGGCAAGATGACGTCGGTTGGCAAGGAGATGATGAGCCTGCGCATTGCCGCAACGGGCGGAAAGAAGACGAAACGAAAGTTTGTCGTAGAGCCGGAATACGACGCGCAACTGATTCGCCAGATGAACTTGGGGTCCAGGTGGGAACGCGTGCTGACCACTCCAGCAGAGACAGGTGTTTTTGAAAAACTTCTGCGACTGCTGCATTAGATAAGGACACTATGGCTGCGGACTTGGTTGAAAGTTATAGGCGAAGTACTTAGTGTAGTTGATGGTTCAGCGCAAAAGCTTGCAGCAAATTTACCGAACTATAGACATTCCAACGTCGTCATCAAAAGAAAAATTGTTATCTCTACGTCTGCAACATTATTGTAGGCGGGTGCCTGACGACGCGGAAGATAGAGACAATAGCGGCGATCCTGATCCAAGCGAAGTGGCGGTGTCGCGTGGTGCGCAGTCGCATGGTGGCGGACAGTTTGTCGAGCGTGCCTCTTTCCAAGTGGTACTCCATCGAGATGGTTCAGGTGCGGATGAAGATCTACCGCCTGTTTGACGACGCGCACTCCTCCACTGTTGCCCAGTGCATCTCGCTGTTCATCTTGGCCGTGATCATTTTCAGCATTCTCTGCCTGGTCGCAGAAACGTCACCCACTTTCATGCCCGACGTGGACAAGTACGGGGTACAGAAGACCACGCAGACGAAGAGCTTGATCATTGAAAAAGACACGTGGATTATGCAAGAAAAAAACTGTGTAAGTGTAAACTTGTGTTGCAGAGCATGCAACAGAGTTACACCTGTCATGCCAGACAGACACGAAGTCCTCTTTCCATGTGTGTTTTCCCTTATAAGCCACGCATGACAGGTTTTCTTTGTCATGTAGAGCAAATTTGTGATGCTGTGTCTCAAAGAAAGTTACACTTACTTACACACTTTTTTTCCTGGATATGGATGGCCATCGACTGGTTCGCCACCATCGTCTTCACGGTCGAGTTTTCGCTCCGATTATGGGTGTGCAACGTGATGCCGGGCAAAACCGTGAAGCAGTTCTTCGCGCAGCCCATGAACGTGTGCGACTTGCTCGCCGTGATGCCCTTGTACATCGAGATCATGTTCCAGGGCGGGGGCGCTGGCTTCCTCCGGGTGCTGCGTGCGATTCGTTTGGTGCGGCTGTTTCGCATCTTTAAACTCGGGCGGTACAGCACCGCGCTTCAGCTCATGTTCCACGCGGTTTTCGACTCCATTCAGATCCTGCTCGTGTTGCTCTTCTTCCTGGGCATCGGGGTCATCCTGTTTTCCTCGATCATTTACTACTTCGAAAAGCTCTCCTGTCTATGAAATGCAAATATTTCGAAAATTTTGTTCGTCTGGAAGAACAATTTGGCATGTATTTTCTATGCTGGTTGCATCAAGGGAGCACGACGCGCGGAGGCTCTTCCATGCCGAGCCCGCCGGAGAAATCATGCCACCTTCGGGTGGAGACAAACGGCGTGCGGTTATTTTGCTGACTAAGCAAGATGACCGATCTTTGTCTGCTCTAGACTCAGTATCACAAGTCCTCGCAGCGTTCCAGAATACTTATATTTGCAATGCATACTGTCCGGATAAGGACAACTGGACGGCCGCCGACTACACCCAGTATGTGTCGGAGTGCGAGGCCGGGTCGGGCGGAAAGCACTTCTCCAAGACCTACGGCCTATGTTGCGATCAGCACGACGTCTCGCTCGACTTTCCCAACATCCTCACCGCGGTGTGGTGGAACGTCGTCACCATGACCACGGTGGGCTACGGTGACATCGTGCCCCGCACGCCTCAGGGCCAGGTGGTCGCGTCGTTAGCACTGCTCGCTGGTACCCATGTACTCTGTTCGCTTTTTTTTATTCGATCGTGAGCCTGAAGATCTTCAAGATCCTCATGTTCTCATAAAGTTGCTCCGCTAATTGTTCCTACTTCGCAAAAGATGGTGGCCTGTTGCCGTAGGTTTTTGGTAATATCCACGAGGAGGCAGGAAATCGTAATTGGCGCGCCAATGTATTACTCATTGCTCGCCGATCATTCTAGTCCTCCTCTTCCCGGGCTCTGTACAAAATGCCCTCTGAGTACTTGCTGTTATGTCTCTGAGGTATACTGCTGATCGCGCTGCCGGTGGCGGTTGTGGGAAGAAAGTTTCAGGAAACGTACGACGAGCTGGAGAGCGACAAAGCCATCGCGGGAGTCGAAGCGCATACGGGTGGCGTAATCAAGAAGAGCAACGTGTCAGACCCCGACGAGATTCCCTTCACCAAGCTAGTCACCGCGGTATGTCGGATAAAATAAATGCGCGGCATTTTTCTTTGCTTGCAGCAAGATTTGTGACGATCAGCGGGATTCGCTGCGGTTAGTCGTAATGGTACATCTACAGCCCACGACACGTCGTTCCATCGTGACGATGCCATGATTTTTCTTCTCAATTTTCTTTCTTCGCTCAAAACGACATCAGATACAAATGCTGGAGACGGAAGACACTGATTTTTTTTTGAAGCTGAAGAACCTCCAGCGGCTGATTGATCAATGCGTGGCCGCTAATGAGATGGTACATCGACTGCAGTGCGCGGAGAAGGCACGGCAAGAGAACGCGTACTTCACACTGCGAAAGATTCTCCTACGCTTCGCGAAAGAAGAATCTTCCTGACGACCAAGTATTTGTGTTTCTTTCTGGACGGTGCTACGACTAGAACTACTAGTTCTTACTGTACCGATGGAAATGCGAGTGCTTGCGCGGAGATTGCAAAGACGCACCTATATCGCAGAACTCAATAGATGGCACTTAGTGGCGGAAAGAAGTGTCGGTTGGCCTGTGCGCAGTTCTTTCACAGCGGTGTTCCTCTCGTCTACCACAATTTCAGCGAGCTGAGGCCAAATCTTGCACTTCTGTGTAACGGAACCAATATTGTTGCGCTTGTCAAATCATGATGAGAGGCAAAAAATCAGTCGAATTTGTTTTTGCATGAGGAAGCAATCTACAAGAAAACGAACTGGAGAACAAGGCAATGCGTGAACTGGAGAAGCTATATCGTGCTCGCGATTTGCTTCTAGTGTTGAATGAAAAATGGTACGCGATAGCAGGCTGTATAGTATTTTTGTAGCTGCGTTTCATCTGGTACGGCTGGCCTAGAACGATATGTTCGTTCGGATTTGTCTTTTGTTTCGTTTTTCAAACGTACTCCCAGAGCGCTCATATAAAATCACGTGTAAGAAGATGTTGTCTAGCTTGTTTCTACTGACCTGAGCAGCTCTTTGTGCTGCGTGCTTGATCTATTGGAATAACTCTGTAGTTGTAGCTGCACTCAGTTTCACACTCACTTTGCACACACTGTCAGACGTCTCAAAAGATGGTCGAGCATGTCGCCATGCAGGGGTGGCAGGCAGTCCCGATAGAGCTGCTCACTGATCTATTATTTGTAACACCTCCCCTTCCACCCCCTCGTTGTGAGTATGTAGAAGCATCAGTGCCAGTGGCACCGGGAAGAAAGGGTCAGCACGCCCTGCGCTTTGCGAATTCTTTATGTCACTTTGTTTTTTTTATGGTGTTGGGGGTCCCTCCAATGAATCTGTCTTGGTCTTGGTTGAGGAATGTCCCCCTTCACGTCCGAGCGCGATCGGCGATGGTATCCACTTACCTAGAATGCATGACGTAGGCTGAAGCAGAAGCAGAGATATGACACGCTGTGAAATTAATGAAAAGGTTCACAGTTCCTAACAGATGAGGGGGAGTTGTCATGCATGATACGACCCGACAACGGTACAGAAGACGGGAATTGCCGTCGCGGCTGTCGTTGTGGCGTTGTGCATGGAGCTGGTGCGGTATGAGAGTGCACAATTTATTCCCGTCCCCCTCATTTGTCACGCAAAATTCCAGATGTAGTTGTTGCCTTGTGGCGCTGGTTGCATGTCAAATCTATTTCGGAAGCCTAAACAGTCAAAACTGCCGGCTGCAGTTCTGTTTGGCAAACAGAACTGCAGCCGGCACAGGAACTTTCTAGACGCAGGCTCTAGTATGTTCCTCGCCGTTTCTCATGCTATACATGCCCTCCAAATCAGTATGAGGTGATGAGGAGATGTGCATTCTCATACCCGTTCCTGGAGTTGGGGCCGTTCTCTTGGTCAGACAGCGAAACACGGGGCTTCAGCAGCAAGCAGCAGTGGAGCTGCAGCATCCAGCAGCGGGTATCACAACTTCCCAATGTTCCTTCGCATTGTTCATATTTGGCACAAAAATTTGTCACGGAGCAGCGGCTATGGTAGATAGTATCCACGTATCGCTTGTTTATGTGTGAATAGTATAAACCCACTACTTCCTTCCTTGACAGCTCTGAGCCAGCAGCCGTACCGCCAAGCTCGCCATCCGCTGCGAGCACGCCGCAAGCATCCGTCGGGGGCCCCGTTGGTAGCGCTGGAGGGCGCGCGGTAATGCTGCGGGATACCGCACAGCGCGTGAACGCAATGGGGCACAAGCTGCGTGCCGGTATGGCGTTGGGCGCTGAAGTGGGTGGGATAATGTTGAAAACTTCCGCCATGCTGAAGCTCGTGCGGAAATCGCAGGACGCCGGTACTACCACCCCGGAGCAGGCGGTTGGTACAACTACAAAAGGCGGCGCGGGATTTCAGGAAAGCTTACATTTCTACTGCCCCAAAGCGTCGACTTCTAATAATCCTGCTGGCCAAGGACAGACAATGCCCGGTCTCGAGGATGGGATGGGTCCGGATGAAATGACCGCGATGGAGGTGCTGCACTTTCCGCTGCAGCCCGGTGACATCGAAACTCCAGAGGACGAAGAAACCAAGTACAGATACTTAATACACAGAGATAAATACAACATTTGTTATATGACAGTACTATGGAGCTCGGCTGCGCATTTTATTTTTTCTGGGTGTGGCCGGGTACGCGGATTCAACAGATATATTGATTCATTACAAATGACGTCGTTGTAGTAGCACAAGCAACATGATCATAAAAAACACAACTTAAAAATCACCAGCCGCTCGCTGCTCATTCGGGGTACGCGCGTGCTTTTCGGAGGGGTGCACGAGCGCGCGGAGTTTTTGTTGGCAATCCGCGTCTTAAACCAGCAGAGCCAGCGGCTGCTCCAAGGCGGCGCACCGAGTGCAGCGACTGGCTTGGCCGCGGGCAATGCCAGTGAAGTTTTTAGCTGATACATCGCACCACAACTCCGACCGTCGCGAGGACACATCTCTCCTGGTGAAGCGACGTCGTAGCAGTTTTAATTTCTGTTCTACCAGTCGCAGCAGTTATGTATCGACGCAAAGAAGACGTTCTTTCAAGGAATAGAATCGCAGTGTGGAGTTTGTTTTTGCAGCGAGAACCACGATCGTCGGAGGCTTGCTTTTGTAAGCGTGCATCCTTTTGTTCATCGGGACCATGTGAAAAGAAGTTTTAATTGTGCATCCCCATGAATGCCGAGTTTGGAAATAGCGGTCGAAGAGGAGAAACAGATACTAAACCAGCGTCACGCGGGCTACATCGATGTTCTGCTTCCGCAAAGACACAGCCCCCTCGGGCGACGCGGCGCTGCACCGGTTTTTTCCAAGACCACGACGCCATGCGGCCATGCAGTCACTTGTGAAAGAGAACAGCTAATGCGGACTCGCCGGCTGATGCAGTTGAAACCGTTCGGACAGGCAGAACGACGCGTGGATGTAGACCACCCGTGCTGATCAAAAACTACAGCAGCTGTTGTTGGTGACCACGATTGATGGCCGCGTTTTCATCAACCCATGTGCTGTAGCCTGGATCCCCTTCACAAGCGACGAGCCGGCATGTAATACTAGGAGACAACCGAAGAAGTAATTTTCGCGGGACAGCTATGCTTGATGTCCGACGAGGTCCGGTGTAGTGTGTCTCTGCAGGTACCACGGGGGGTTTTCCTACACAATGGCTGCGCCGAGTATACCGGAATGACCGAACGAATCGGATATTTTTTTCGCGTAGTTACGCGCGCACCTCGGGCAGGGAAGTGTTCCTTTCCAGATCGTGGCGACGGCGGGCGGTAGAGGGAGAAGTTCATCAAGGACGAGCTGGACTAGACTGCATCAGTATGGAGAAATATTACTATCCCGCGGGTCACCACGCGAGTCCCGTACACTGAAATCTGTTGACGCCCGACGGATGCGGACAATTCCAGTCATGTTGAAATTTTCCAAGATTAATTCGGCTCATGCGGCGCTATATAACATAACGATTTCAATTGGTACTTACGCTTTCTTTGTAAATAAAGCTACAGAAAACCGGTACCGGATGTTATAACACTGCGATGAAGAAGGTAGTACAGAAGAAATTTGAAGGCAAAAGTAGATAGAATCACAGACAGACAGACAGAGGTGTCATATTGAATGATAGGAGCGTAATATTCTACGCCTGATCTGTATTTTCGGAGTTCTAGTTGAAAAGAGCCAAAGATCAAGCACAGCCAGATTGTCATGAGGTGAAACGAGAGTCAGCTATGGACAAATTTCTACGATAAGGAGAAGGCGCATCTGTGTCTTACATCTTTTCCAGGCGACAAGATAAGTGTGCCGATATGCTTATAAGATATTATCTGCTCGTATGAATTAAACAATTATCGACTCTTATACGAATTTTTGAAAAAATTGCCGTACAGTACTTGTTGACTTCTTCAACTCTTTTTGCATGCAACGAATGAAAGCCGGGGTCGGTGGATTCTACTATCCCCCACTACCAACCGGAAAAAATTGAAATTCTCTGAAAATATGGAATTCCTTTTCCAGACTGTAGATTGACTGCAAAGACTTGTGTAGCGGAAAGCAATGGATTAACCCGCATTGGATTTCGCAACGATGGATTGATGGCAAACAACTACATCCCCTTATCTCACCTTCTTTGTGGGAATTTTAACTAACTAACTACAACCGGGACCAGGGGATGAGGTTTTCCAAAGTTATTTTAACATCGAGCCGCGCCTGCAAAGTCGCGACATGTCAGTTCTTTTTCTTTTCTCTTTCGCTGTTTTTCGGTCTGCATGGCTTCGTCAGGGAAAAGTTGTGTATGCAGTTCCTCATGTCGTTCATGTGTGACGATCTCTTGACTATTTTCCAAACATTCTCTGGTGGTTCATCTTGACACCTAGAACAATAACAGACAGCGGACAAATACTTGGTGGTTGATGTTATCCTCGAAGAGGTAGTTGGGGACATTGGTAAACCAGGTCGTGGTCTGCATCGTTGCGTACGAATATTACCATTAGGACTGGATCTGGATCGAGTCACTGGCCTGTTGGATCCTACCGAGCATTTTGAAGAAATTTTGGATTGCAGTGTGGGTTAATGTCCAACATTTTTTGTTGCAAATCACAGTTCTGGCACCTCGTACTTTAAGGAACAGTCTTTTTGCTGCGTGGTGAAGAAGTAGTCGTGCAGTGCGTCCAGCTGAGTATTGGGACGGCCAAGTCAAGAGTCAGACATCGCCTGCCGTCGCGATCATGCGAACCGCCGCAGTGAGCCCGGGCATGCTCGTGCGTATTCTGGTTCCGGGGGACCTGTTTGGCCGGTATGGAATCGCTTTCGAAAGGCAGCCAAAGGAGGTTTTTCGTGTACGTGTCTGCACAACCATGGAGGAACCTTTGAAAATCATTCGGGCACCCGGCAAGCAGCTCGAGGCCATTGAGCTGTGTGTGTTGCTCTGCGCCTGCATACGGTCTGAAGAAGCGCTGGAGCGATTCGAGGTTTATATGTTTCATACAAAATTAGCCGCAAAGAAAAGAGTATCCAGTCACTTTTTGTACTATCGTTTGATACACGGTTCTCGTCTCTAATGCTGAGACAGCCTGATATCTTTGGTCTGGGAACAAAAATCAAGTCCGATTTCCTTTTTGACTGGCACTTGTGAAAAAAAACTAGAACAACAACAGCTCGCGCTCGAGTCGGTCAATCCACTGCTTCAGAATGACGTGGATGCGGACTATCGACCACTGCTGCTGGTGAGCTACGCCGTCGACGAGCGGTTCGAAAGTAGTGAACTGGTGCAGCGGCTCTCTGGATGGGAGGCGACTATCAGCGCAGAAATTTTGGCGGCGGAGGAGGCAGGGAGCAATGCAAGTGGTCCGACGCAGCTACCAGGTTTAAATCTGCAACGGCTCGTATTCTGTTGACACAATGTAGTTGGATGAATCAATAAAGATTTTTTGACAGCTCGCCAGGATTCGTTTCACCCCTCGCTTTTTCTTCATGAAGTTTAGTAGCGTACAGATAAACAACTACACAAAAAAAAAGAAAATCGTGCGGTGGTGCGGCGCCTTCCTTTGTCGGACGACCTTCACTTCGGGCATTTGTTGCGGGAGGTAGCGCCTCTGGTTCCCAAGAACAGCTGGTGCTGCTTCCAGGACGAGCGCAGTCTGAGTTGCAGCACACGCCTGGCCGCGTTTCTGGACATGGTGCAGAAGATGCCCGTGGACGCAAAGATTGGGGTCCTGGACGTGCAGGCCGGCTGGTGGCCGGGCCGGAAAACAGACGAGCACGAACGCCCTCGAAACGCAGAGGAGGTGGACCAACTGTTTGAGTGTCAAGCCGTGGGAATCGCGCCCGCAAACTGCAGTGCCGGTCGGTTGTATCCTTACCTCTTTCGCGGCGAGGCCTGCTTCGGACCATTGCAAGAGAAAGACACGTTTCCGGTCACCGTAGTGACCTCGGAGTCGAGTGCTTGCGAGCTTCTTGTAGGGCAAAAAGATGAAAAGATTGAAGTATACAGGCACCAACCGATAAATTTTGAATCCTTTCAGTATGATGGGGACGAACCTCTCGACTGGGGCTATATGCCTGATGCGCTGCTCTAGCTTTCACAGGAGAAAAGTTGCCTGCGGAAAAGTGGTGCACCGCGATGTTTTGGTCTCACCTGCGCATGATCTGGCTAACTGCAAGTTCTTGTTCGGTTCAGAAAAAAACCGTCAGGCCAAGCTCTAAGGTTGTTACAACGCACGTTGCGATGCAAATGAAAATGAACAAGCGAGAGGCATGAGAGGGAGTGAACGATTTCCGGGCGAAAACAAATGCACTACGTACTAATTCGCATTTTTGCGTGCTGTTCACTCGCGTGCATGGCCCTCGTACACTGTTGCATTTAAAAAAGGCATGGGCGCTTTTTCCAAGTGCGAGAAACAAACAGACGTAGTTGTAAGGCAACGTATCCGAAAATCATCAGATGCGCGGTTCACAAGTTCGCGTGCAGGGCCGCAGAGCACAAGATAAGTGTCAAAGGTAGTCCGCTGCTACATATGGGAGGTATCACGATGATGTGTCGTCGATCGCAGGAGAAGAAGATTGACGACGGTGGACAGGGCCGCGACGCCCCCTGGTCATATCAAAACTCCGGGCGGTTCTTCGGTGCGACTCGAATTCGAAGCGTGGCGCGGGACCTGATCTGCGTTTTACTCTTATCCAGCCCCAACACCTCGTGGGTCAGTCTTGCGAGCGCGAGAAGCGCCGGAGCGGTTTCCTCCTCTGGGGCGCCGTTTATTTCGTGGCCTGGCCTGAATTTTAGCGCCTGCACGTGCTGCCACACGGGGGCAGACGGGCAGCCGGTTACGGAGGGCAGGACGGTGAGTCGCGGTGAGCTAGTGATACGTGGCGCCTCCACCTCGTCGTGTGCGGATGTGACCGTACGCGGCGGAAGTGAGGTCGACCCGGATGAACAAGAACCGCAGGAGGCCTCGGTACGTCGTGTTGATACGAGAGGTTCAACATCTTCCAGGACGAGAAACTCCAACCCAGTGGTGCTGGAGGCCGGTCCCACGAGCGTCGACTCCTTCAGCGAGCTGCTGTGCGACAAGACGGCGGCAGCTGCGTCGCTCCTACACGACAGGAAGGGTACTAGGAACAACCCCGACGCTCCTGCAGGGCACTATGCGGGAACACGGCGCATGGCCACGCCGTATACCTCGCCCGTTCCAGGCACGGGCTCCGGCATCGTCGGAAAAGGGCTGGGGGCCACAGAGAGTGGGTCTTCCACCGGTGTGCTGGACCTCCAATTACAACCAACAACCGAGCAGTCCTTGCGCAGTAGGCACGAGGAGAGCAGCTGCTGCGATCCAGGCCGCGGGAAGAGTCCTCGCGGCGATGATCAGCGCCAGGTTCATCTCTCCGACTCGTCATCTCCCCCTGCTGACAACATCCCGGGGATGAACGAGAACGGAGCGCAGCCACTTCCTAAGAGGAATCCCGGAGCAGGCGGGCTTCTGTTGCCGGGCGTAGTGTCGAAAAGGGTGCGCAACACCCTTTCGTTGCTCGCTGCGCATTTGCCGGCCGGCACGTCCTCTTCGCGAGGAGCCCCGGCAAGGGCGGCGGCAGAGGAGAACAACAAGAATCAGAACAATGTCAGGCACCGACGGGGTTCCATGATTCGCGGCTGCTTTCAGAATGTAAACGCCGCGACGCCGGGCGCAAAGGCCGGAAAGAACTCAGCGGCGCGCGACCACCGGTGGGACGAAGTGGAACATGTGCCGACCACGACGCCCCACAGCCGACGGAGCCGCGGGGGCGTGGAACTTACGGAGGAGAATCTCCTGCACGCCCGGCCGGAGCAGCTTCACCTGGAACCGCAAACCACTTCGGCTTCGTCGTGGGGATCCTTTTTCAACCAAGACAACCTGCTGGAGGACACGGGGTCCCCCAGCTTCAATTTGCGCGATGAGGAGAATGACCCCGAAGACGACAGCAGCGGGGACGGGACCGGGCCCCAATTCGGCATCAAGATCGGCCGGCAGCAGTCGCAGGCGGCCAGCCTGGCCCCCTCCGCCTCTACCGCCTCCGAGGAAAGCCGTCGCCGCAGACGTGAGCAGGAGTATCAAGCCCGCGGAATGAACATTCCCATCGTCACTCTCTAGACTGTCTATGTCTGCGGGGGAACATTCGGGTACCCGACATCGAATTATATACGAGAATGTACAAAGAAAAATTATATGTACCGTTTTTGATAATCTGGAATCTGTTGAAACGAATCAATTTTGTGCTGCGGCCCTTCCGTTTGCATTTTTTACTTTAGTCTGAATGATGAATGCTTGTTGGCCGTTGCTTGGAATCAACACAAATCGCCTTGCAGCTGCACTGAGGATCAAAAGGTTGCGAGGCTCGATTGGGTTGCTTTCTCTGTAGTGGTGTGCACGATAATCATGTAGTTTTTGTGAAGTGAACATTGGCGAAAAGCTGGATTTCAATTTGACGAAATGCAAAAAACGGGGACCATTGTAATTTTCACGTCGTATTTCAGTACATGGTTTGTCATTCCTCGCAGGGAGCACCCGTTTTGCAGCCCGCTAGTGTCTCTCTTGGCACAACTACGGCGCACTGACCTGCGTGTCGCATGCCGTGTGTTGTCTATCATTCATGCTTGCAAAAGCGCATGCCTATCTCGGTGATGAATTTTTTCACTTGCCTGAATTTAAAGTATTGTGTGTCTGCTGCAGTCAAAATGTATGTAGTTTTGCGAGCTGTTCTTCTTCTTCACTTTTGCAAGGGGAAAGAGGCATAGATCCGAAAGTGCTGCTCTTTTTCGAGTAGTCTCGGACTCGTTCGCTTTGCTCCGCGTTCTTTTGGATGATGCTGATGATGATTTCGTTTCTTTTGATAGGTCAGTCGCACAGTGAAGTGCGCGCGAGATCACCACGTTCGTGAGTTCCCTGTGCTCGCCCCATCTTGTCAGACACACCCAAAGCGATCACGAGCGTGCGGTCCTTTTTTCGATCAATCACACAGAGGTGCAGTGATCTCATCCAATTATTCGCTGCTCGCCTCATTTCCGTGAGGCTCGAGCCACAATTTATTTGTGTAACATTCATTGTATTCTTGTAATGCTGTTTCATTTCATTGTGACAGCGAAGAGCTCCAGTAAAAAAATGCTACCGGCGCGATCCAGATAGATCAGCGGTGGTTCAGACGGGAGCGCCGTTGGTATCGGTACCTCTTATCGGCACCGGAAGGATGAGAATGCCGGCATGGTGTCGGCGGCGCAGGCGGCAGCGGGGGCCGACTGAAGCAAGAGGGCCTCGCGGGATGATGAAAGCGTCCTCTACGTTAGTTCGACGAGTACTCCTAGCGGGGACCACCGCAAGCGGCTCTTGGCTCTGCCTACAGTCGGCCAGCACTTGGTCGTTGCTCCCCCCTGCTGCCGCAATGCCCGTAATGCGACGCGTGGAGACCGACGACGCTCTCCATCCGGAATGCGTCTGGAAGGACGACCCTTTCGACGACTTAAAAGACATCAAGATATACGCGCTGATCTACTACGGTCGCCGGGCCTACGTCGACCTGCTGAACGCCTACCTCGAGCGCAACCTGCGTGAGAACGGAGGGGTGCTCGATGGCGTCCTGTGGGCGCTGGTGAAGTACGATATGAACGACTTGCAGTACCTGATCAAACTGCAACGTCGAAACCCGCGGTCCTACTTCATTCCCCCGATCGAGGGGGGCGGTTGGGACGTGATCTGGAAGGTGGTGGACGAGCCCGGCGCCTACTACGTCAAAATAGACGACGACGTCGTCTTCATCAATGACGGCGCGATCCCGGAGCTGATTCGGGAGAAGCGGCGCGATCGGTTTTTGTTTGTTTCCGCGAACGTGATCAATCACGGCATCGTGTCCGCGGTGCACCAGGTATTGAAAAATACTTATTGATAAAAAAATGCGAGCTTGGTTCCTAACATTCAAATGGTGCACTCCAGTCTTTTTTTCGTTCGAGTTTTCACAGCATGATGTACCAATAGCAATACTGGCATGGTTAAGGCGGTTTTTTTGCGGAAAGTAGGAAACCCATGAACAATATCAAACGAGGAAAAAAAAAACGGTGAAGAAATCCCACTACTTGAGCAAGACAATTATATGATGATGTTCAGCAAGACGGGAAACAATATGAATTTGCTCCGTAGGAACTGGCGCAGTACCCCTGGCTAGAGAAGCCGGCACCGAATCCGGAAGACGGTAAACTGCACGCGTGGCCGTTTCGGCAGGATGTGATGCTTGACGAGAAGTTTCGGATCGAGCATACGTTCTACTCCGACTGCATCTGGCGCCGGTGGGACTGTGCCGCGTGGGCGCACGAGACGCTGCTGCACCGCATTGAGGAGGGCAGTTTGTGCACGCTAGACTTTGGGGTCTTTGACTTCCTATGACAGTGCACAACTCCCCCTCCCCCCCATTTGTATTGCATGAACAGCAATACAACCGTCAGCAAGAATACAGGTTTTGCATGACAAATTTGGACAGGAGTGGAGTGCTATTTGGGCTGCCAGAACTTGTCATGCAAACAGTGCCAAGAGCCAAGGCGTAAACTAGGTATTTCGCATGACAAATGAGGAGGAGGGGGAGTTGTGCACTCTCATACCTCCACGCACACGGCTACGAAACCATGTCAGACGGAATCAGCCGCCACGTGGACTGGAATATTGCAATGAAAAATGCCCCCCCCATATCAAAACGGAAATCTGTGATGCAGATTTGTGGTCACAAATCAGCTTTGTGATGCTAGAAGGCAAAAGATGCGGACTGTAGTGCTGTCTAGCGTGGGAAAGCCTTGCAGCTCCAGGATGACAGGAGGCAACTGGAAGTGGGAAACAGCATGACAGATTGCCTACAATTTAGGCCGCAGCTTCGTCTCTTGACCTTCTAGCAATACAAGTTGATTTGTGTACTCAAATACAGCATCACAAATTCGCGCATCTTCCGCTTCCGATACGGGGTGGGGGCTTTTTTCCCTTTGATATGGAACATCAACTTTTTCGCCTTCAAATACGAAGACTTCTCGGACATTAGTATACCTCGATTTTATTGTTTCTGCAATTGTTCTATGAAGATCAACGTCAACAACTGTGCTTCGTTGATCATGTGCGTTGTTAATATGGTCATGGCGTTGATGTAGCGCGACGAGAGAGCAGACACAACTGATCGCGAAGGGGCGCGAATGTTAGCGTGGCTGTGTTACTTCTTCTTCTTCCTCTTTTGGGGTTTTTCCAAAGTCCAATGTTCACAGCCCTAGATTGGGTAGTACAGGGATGCGAGGAAAATGAGTGTCTTGCTGATCGTATGAATGAAAATAACGGCTGACAGGCTGGGATGGTATTTCCACTGACGATGAGGGCGAGTTTTCCACACAGCACCCAAAACGGCGAAATCAGCACGCGGCGGCTCTCGGGCGAGCAGTGGTGGCTCACTGGAGTTTTTCCATACAGGAGAAAGGGTTACTGGCCAACACGACGCTGCTCGAACGGTACCGCGAACTGGCAGAGAAACTCATGTACGAAAACGCAGTAAATTTCTATGATGGTGTCATGCAGCCTCGGGGTCACGCTTTCTGAAAAGAGCCTCTGGTTGTAGTGAATCTGAATACTTACATTGTTGTCACTCCCCTCCTCCTGGTTACAGGTGGAGAGAACCATGCACATGGCAGTTAGAATTACGAGGCTGCGGGGCCTGGGCCTTCCCTCCCACACAATCTCGACTGCAACTGGAGGTTTCAAAAGAAACGTAAATCAAATGCGCCGCGCCACTTCTCGGCTGCTAGTAGTCACTACATCATTTACGCGATGATCTTGTGCATTGCTTCAAAGCTGCCATCGGTAAAGATGGTGAGTAAAAACGTGTTTGGTCGTACTGGGCAGCTGTGTCGAATTTGCTGTGTGCTGTTGCTGTGGAAATAATGGGATGCACAGTAAATGATTGCTGAACTGTGAGTGTGTTGGCGATTCGAACGTGAAAAGATGGACAAGAAAAGATGTTGCTGATGAAAGCTGACGAGCTTCCAACTATAGCGCGTTCAAAATTGCGCAACTGGTCACTTGTGTATAATTAGCAAGAGCCAGCTAGTAGGTTTTTGGATTAAGTGGCAAGATGAATTGCGTGCAATAGTTGAATAGGTACCTCAAGTACTATATCCTTATCTCCTTCGAGCTTTCAACACTATGCTACTCGGCGTGCTAAACAACTTGAAGTATTTTCTTTGCTTTCGAGAACCCTAACTAATCGTCGAAAAAATGAATTGACCATGACACGCACCGACTGAGGGGTCAGAGACCAAACGTCGCATGTCGCAATAGCAAGCGGCCCGCGCCGGCAGCGGCACCCCGCCCCCCCGGTCAGATCCGCGGCGTGCCTGCCTTCCTCGGAGAGCACGAGTTGGGTGATATTACCAGAGGATGGGGGGTCCGACGAACCAAAAAGTCGCGGTCGTCAATGGCCGATACGTCACGAAGGGTGGAAAGGGAAAAGGGAAGGGAAACAGCAAAAACCCGAGTGGGGCCAATTTCATCGGCGGCGTTGGCGGTGGACTGAAGGGCAAAAAGGGCAAGGGAAAGGATGCCGGCAAGAAGGGCGGAAAAGCCGACGGGGGAAAGAGAAGAAACGTTGGGGGGGAGGCAGACGGAGATAACGGGCTCATTGACGACGACGATGAAAATGCACCACAGCAAGTGCGAAGGAAACAGCCTGGCGACGAGGATGTCGAGCTCGAGAAGAAATTTGGAGTCCACGTGATGAAGCGTGGCGAGAAAAAGACGGGGTAAGTACTTGGCTTCTTAGGCGATCATGGTAGTACTTTTTTGCATAAGCAAGGAGCTCCTGCAGTAAGTACTTATACGCGGAGGTGTGACAGCCTCGGTGTCCATGTTGTTCGAAGAATACTTAATATCGATCAAAAAAAATTTTAAAGATTAGGACGCGCTCCTCGTCTCAGAATACCAGAAGTGTAGCATTTGAAAATAAGCTAAAGCCTCCAAAAATGTTCTTCTCTCCACCAGATACCTCTTCAACATGCGGGAAACCATCCACCGGTCGGAGGCGAGTGGGCGCGAGCTCGCGGGTCTTCTGTTGTACTGCATCGGGCGGGATGGGGGCACGTTTCGCGCGACACACTTGTACCGACCCTACTTCCTCGTTCGCTTGGTGAAGAACTGTCCCGACCGCATCGTGGAGCTGATTCGGGGGACGTTGCAGGAACAGTTCTGCACGAGCGAAACCGGAGTGAAGCAGGTGTGTCGCGCGACGGTGGTCGAGAAGGAGGACTTGTCGCTGGAGGACCACCTGGTCGGGCGCAAACGCAAGCTGATAAAGGTCACGTTCGACAACCAGAACCACCTGCGTCAGGTATCACATTGCAAAATGCCGCCCCCACCCTGGAAGTTTGAAATATTTGCGTTGCATAAGGTTTTCAAGCGCAAAACTCTTTATCTATGCGTGCTTGGACGAAGACTGTCACTCATGCAGATTGTAGGCGCGCGAAGCAGTTCCGACATGACAAACCAGGAGCGTGCTGGGCTTGCAACGAAAATTTTTGCTACTCTGGCTCGAAAACTTGTGATGCTGTGTACGACAAGCAAAGCGGAAAATATTTTTTCCACTGGGAATTTATGCAACACACACACTTGCAAATTCTGGGATTAACATGGGGGCATACATTTTTCATTTCGATAGCAGGGCCTGGAGGCGGTCACGGAGTACGAGAAGCTGACGCGGCGGAACCGCGGCACGCGGGTATGAAAGTGCACAATTCCCCCTCCCCCTCATTTGTCATGCAGAATTGCAAGTCCACCCTCTGCCTGTTACTGTTAGTACGGTTTGCATGACAGATTCCGGAATCCGAAACAGCACTACAATCCCCTAGGAATTTGTCATGCAAAAGCTGCATCTTTGCCAGCGCTTGTGTTGCTGTTCATGCAACACAAATGAGGGGGAGGGGGAGTTGTGCACTGTCATAGCGGGAGGAGAAGATCTACAGCTTGGACCTGCTGAAGAAACAGGACGAGCGCATCGACCACTGGATCTTCGGCAAGCTCGAGTGGGACGTGAGTTACATGAACCGCATCTCCATCGACAAGGACATCCGCTGCGGCCTGTGGTACGAGGTCGACTTCCCGAAGCAGGTGCTGTACGAGGACGAGAACGAGGACAAGGTGAACTACCAGCTCACCCAGCACCGCATTCTGGAGTGCGACGACAAGCCCTCGTGGCGCATCATGGCCTACGACATCGAGTGTACCAAGGAGCTATGAAATGCAAAAGTGTCTGGGTTTGGAGGATTGCGAGATTTTGATTTGCCATGCTTGTCTGGCACGACCAAGAAGTTTATGATGCGTGTTCAAGAAGAGACCCTTTTGCCTGTCATGCAAAAACGCAGTTTGTCATGCGAAAAACGCAACATAAAGAAGCGCAGATATTTCTCATGCTTGGCTGTGCATCACAGAGCATTCACTATTCCCAACACAGCATTACAAGTTTCCAGACCCAGACATATTTGCAGTTGATAGGAGCCGTTGAAGTTTCCCGACGCGGAGAAGGACAGCATTTCGCTGATCTCGCTCATGTATGAATTGCAAATATGTCTGGGTCAGGAAGATTCTGAGACTTGTCATGCGCGTTTTGCATGAGCAGCCATAATGTCTGTGATGCATGCCCTAGCATCACAGATTTTTTGAAGGCTTCTCGATGCCTATTCCGCGTGACAAATGCCCTCTCCGCGTAGGAAAAGTTGCATTTTCTTTGCTGCTCATGCAATACAAATTTTATACCCAGACATATTTGCATTTGATATCATGGCCGACGGGTTAGGGTTTCTCATCGTCAACCGCGAGATCGTCTCGGAGGACATCACGGACTTCGAGTACACGCCGAAGCCGGAGTACGAGGGGTACTTCAAAATCTACAACGAACCCAACGAGAAGGCGACCCTACTAAAGTTCTTCGAGCTGATCCGGGAGATCGGGCCCCACGTGATCTCCACGTTCAACGGGGACTTCTTCGATTTCGGCTTTGTCCGCACCCGCGCGGACATCCTGCTGGGCGAGTACACCGGCCCGGAGCAGCCGGGCTGGTCCACGATCATGTACAAGGAGGTGGGCATCGCGCTGCAGCGGCAGGGGTTCTTCACCGGTAAGTGGATCGTGCATCTGGACTGCTACGCCTGGGTGCAGCGAGACTCCTACCTGCCGATGGGGAGTCGCGGCCTGAAGGCGGTGACCAAATACAAACTCAAGTACGACCCAGTGGAGGTGGACCCGGAGCTGATGACGCCCTACTGCCAGGAGCGGCCCCAGGAAATGGCGGAGTACTCCGTGTCCGATGCGCTTGCCACCTACTACCTCTTCATGAAGTACATCCACGACTTCATCTATGGGAGTGCGTCACGCTGGAAGTCCGCAAGGCGGAAAAAATGATTTGTGATGTATAAAATCGATGGTACTTCTACTTGTTACCCATTGTAGTCCTTGGATCCACATTTTCTAAAGCGGCGCACGACTACACATTTTCCAGACGCCGAGAGTGTCAAGCTGTTTAGAGCAACGCCGAGGGCGTCAGTCAGGCTTCTCAGCAGCCCCGTCCATGAGATTCGTCAGGTTTTTTACATTCTGCCTCAGTTGCCTCCTTCAGTGCAAACAACATAGACGCTCCGTGTGCTGTGGCATTGCTTGCATCGAAAGGTGCCCTATGGGGTGCGTTTTTAGGTTCGCTCGCTTTAGCTTAAAAAGCCATTCTGTCGATTTCCAACTGCTGACGCTGGCACATTCTCTTCGCGCTGTGCTCCATCATCCCCTTTCCCCCCGACGACGTGCTGCGCAAGGGGTCGGGCACGCTGTGCGAGTCGTTGCTGATGCGCGAGGCGTTCCGGTGCAACGTGGTGTTTCCCAACAAGCACGAGGACCAGGCAATCGAGTATCACAAGGGGACTTCGCGGTTGATCGAGCAGAAGACCTACGAGGGGGCGCGCGTGGAGTGCATGCGGGTGGGGGTGTTCCGCAAGGACATCCCGGAGCGGTTCCGCCTGGACCCGGCGGCCTTCCAGGTGCTGCTGAACGAGGCGTACGACACCTGCAAGTTCTTCTGCGAACAGTATCAAATGCAAAAGTGTCTGGGTCTGGAAGAATGCAGACTCGTCATGCATATTTTGTATGATGATTGATGCCTCTAATGCATGATCTAGCAACACAGATTTTTAGACGTCTTCCTAATGCCTACTCCGCATGAGAAATGCCCTTCCGCTCTCTCCGCGTGGAACGGGTGTCCACCTAGGGTATTGGCAGAGGCTAAATCTGTTCTAACGCCACGGTATTGGCAGAGGCTAAATCTGTTCTAACGCCACCCTGACAGGAGTCAAATGTCAAAACGATACGATACGCGTAACACAAACTGGAGTCCTGTTGCTGGTCATGCAATACAGATTTTTTAGGAATCCAAAGACAGCATTACAAGGTGCAATCTTCCAGACCCAGATATTTTTGCAATCCATAAACAGGAGGAGAACACGAAGATCGAGGATGTCGCGAACTTCGACGAGCAGGTGGCCCTTTTGAAGGAGCAGCTGTTGTCCCTGTGCGACCCCGAAAAGGTGGCGCGCCAAATCGCCTACGAAAAGGAGAAGTTCGGCGTCCTGCGCTCGGCGTACACGCCGGCGGGCGAGGGGCTGACGCCGACGGACGCGGCCATGCAGCAAGAGATGCCGTACGAGCTCGAGGTCGTGGAGTGGGAAGAGGTCGAGGGCACGGCGGGGGTGAAGCAGGGCGGGAAAACCATCAAAAAGCGAGCGAAGCGGGTGGTTTTGAACGACAACCCGCTGATCTACCATCTCGATGTCGGGGCGATGTATGAGAGTGCATAACCCCACCTGGTCCCCCTCATTTGTAAAAATGCAAAAAGGCAAATCCACGCACTTGCTCTAAGCTCTGTCCGCAGTGCAAATTTCGGGAGCTCCAACAGCACTATAGAATCCGTGTGCAGGAGATTTGTCATGCGGAAGGCCCATGATCCATCTCTGCCGTTGCTTGTGTTGCCGCTCAAGCACTTCAAATGAGGGGCAGGGGGACGAGTTGTGCACTCTCATACGATGTATCCGAACATCATTTTGTCGAATCGCTTGCAACCGAGCGCCATGGTGTCCCCCGAATTCTGCCAGTCGTGCTCCTACAACGACCCCGCGAACAACTGCCAGCGGAAAATGGAGTGGAAGTGTCGGTACGAGCTCTTCCAGACCTCCAAGGGCGAGGTGCGGAACTTGGTGCACAAGTTGGCCGAACCTCAGAACAAGTACAACCACCGTGAGAAGGGAGAGCTCACCCGCGTGCCATGGAAGGAGCTCACAGAAGCCGAACAGGTATTAAAACTCTTTAGTTGGAATAAAAACTGGGGCTCCATTTTGTGCGGCAATCAGCTGTTCTTGTGATGAAGGGCAACTACGGATCAACTTCGTGCTTGCTAAATGAACAGCACTTTATTTTTTTTTTCGCTTGTTTCGAGAATCCAATAAATTTGTCGATTTTTTTTTCGCGTTTCCAGTCGTTCTTCAGTTAGTGACCACAACGCGGAAAAATAAAAATCATCGCTCAACACCAGGCGAAGGAAACCATCGCAGCCGCGCGCGCGTACAGTCAGAAAGTGTACAAGCGGTTGAAGAACTCGCTTTACGAGGACAAGGTCGATATTGTGTGCCAACGGGAAAACAGTTTCTATGTGGACACGGTCCGCAACTTCCGCGACCGGCGGTACGTGTACAAGCGGAAGAACAAGGAGTGGGGCATATCATGTGTAAAAACTTCCCCACTCCATAGTCAAGATGGGAGATTTGCTAGACAAATCAGCCAGCTTAGGTTGTTGCGCATGACAAACGTGGCCTCGTAGTGCAATCGTGTTTAGCTTGTTCAGCAGCGTCACAGATCTACTAGCCTATTACTCTGATTGGCGCACCATTACAAATTCCAAGGCACGAGTAGAAAACGCTTCTCATGGGGCTCCGCATGAGAAACACGCTGAGCATGCAGAATTGGGGATGTTTTGCCACAGGATAGGGCAAGAAGAAGGAGAAAGCGATTGAGTCCGGCGACCCGGTGAAGATCATGGAGGCCAACGACCGCTGCTTGCTCTACGATTCGCTGCAGCTGGCGCACAAGTGCATCTTGAACAGTTTCTACGGGTACGTGATGCGCACGGGCGCGAGGTGGCACAGCATGGAGATGGCGGGGATCACCACTTTCACGGGCAGTAACCTGATTCGCGAGGCGCGCGAGTTTGTGGACCGCGTAGGGCTGCCCATCGAGTTGGACACGGACGGGATTTGGTGTATGCAACCGCCAGGATCTTCGAAACTTTCACAGTTGAATGAAAAAGCTAGACAGGGCAAAAGAACATGCGTCGAAATTAATTGACCAAATGTATTCACTCGACCTGCTAAGCTAGCTGGCTGTAGTAGTTCAAAACTGCGCTCGCTGAAGATGCGTCAAATCAGACGACATGCGTACTTACACAATAATAGTACAATACGAGTACTACTACCTAAACCAGGCAAAGCCACTTTTTTAACCTTGAAAAGTTCGAAGATCCTGGCACTCTTATAACATGCATGATCCCGAAAAGCTTCCCTGACACGTTCAAGTTCAAGACCAAGGCCGGGAAGGAGCTAAAAATGACGTACCCGAACTCGGTGCTGAATCTGCGGGTGGACCAAAAGTACGCCAACCATCAATACCAGAACGGCACGGAGGTGTTTGTGGACAAGAAAACCGGGGAGGCCCAGGAGAACCTCACCGAGGAGCAAAAGAAGGAGATTCTGGCCGCGAACAACGCGGATGGGAAGAACAAATCGCAGATCGTGAAGGCCACGGAGTGGAAAGTGTCCAAGGAAAACAGTATCCTGTTCGAGGTCGACGGGCCCTATCGCTGCATGATCCTGCCTGCCTCCACGGACGAGGACAAGATGCTGAAAAAAAGGTACTGTGTATGAAATGCAAAAATGTCTGGGTCTGGAAGAATGCAAGATCTGTCATGCATATTTCTCATGAACCATGATGCCTGTAATGCATGACCTAGCATCGCAGACATTTAGAGGGCTTCCTGATGCACCTTCCGCATGAGAAATGCCCTGTCCGTGTAGCACAAACGGCGCCCCCCTTGCTGGTCATCGAATACAAAATTTTTTAGAGTCCAAAAACAGCATGACAAGTTGCAATCTTCCAGACCCAGACATTTTTGCAGTTGATGCTGTGTCTGGGAGGACGACGGCAGCATCGCGGAGCTGAAGGGCTTTGAGGTGAAGCGCCGCGGCGAGTTAAAAATGATTCAGGTGTTCCAAGATGAAATCTTCAGATCTGGCGCCTTCCTCAAAGGCTCCTCCCGGCCAGAAGTCTACCAGGAGCTGGGCCGCATCGCGGATCGCTGGGTGGACGTGCTGGATAGCCGCGGGGCCTCTCTCACGGACGACGATATCACCTTTCTCGTATCCGAAACCAAATCCATGTCGAAGTCCGTCAACGACACAGCGGACGGCCAGAAATCCGTGCAGGTATTTTTTTCGATAGCATCATCAACATTCATCTCGGCCACCATCATCATCATCATCATGCATTGTAGTTCTTCCATGAGTAAACAAACACGTTCATACGTGTGGTCGTTTTCTTGCACTTTCTGAACAAACGCGGAACTGCTGCTTTCTCTAATATCTATCACGAATGATCACGATGTAGTTCTTGAAGGATAATCGAACGCAAAAACTCAGATTTGTTGCGCGAAGCGGTTGGCGTACATCCTCGGTCCGCAGATTCTGGATGACGAGAAGCTTACGTGCCATTTGGTAATTGCCCGGAAGCCAGTGGGCGCGAAGGTGACGGAGCGCGCGATTCCCATGAAGGTGTTCAACTTGGAGGACTCGCTGAAGCGCACGTATCTGAAGGAGTGGCTGAACGATAAAAATCTGGTTTCTACCGACATGCGGGACATCATCGATTGGGGGTACTACAAGGAGCGGCTGGGCGCGTCCATCCTGAAAATCATATGCATCCCGGCCGTGATGCAGCGGTACGGCAACCCGGTTCCGCGGATTCCGTTGCCGCAGTGGCTGCAGAAGATCCAGAAGAAGTGGAACGACGCCCACGTGCAGGGAACCATGTTTGAGCTCATGCTGGACGACAAAGATCCCATCTCGGGGGCCGCCGCCCCGTTGAAACGCGGCACGCGGACCGCGCTGGGTGATATGGAGGACGGCTTCGAGTTGGCGAAAAAGCGGGTGAAGATGACCAACGTGCAAAAGCGCTTCATCCCGAAGTCACTCGAGGACGTTACCGTGGACGAGATCTTCGGGGCGGAAGTGCAGGGATCGGTGGGGGCACTGCGTACAAAAGAGACTACTTACACCCTTCATGTTTTGTACTTGCAAAAATATAAAATACTCATTTCTTGTCTAAATCTAAATGATCCACAGACCAGAGCGCGATTCTCGCAAACCGCTACCCAGGTTCGAAATTTGCGCACGCTGCTACGCTGAAGAATCTCGGGATCATAGAGGACCCAAAGGAGGCTCTGAAGCAGGTGAAAGTCGACAAGAAGGACGAGGAGTACTGGAACAAAATGCGCATCCGGGCAGGTAACTGGCGGATCGTCGCGGTGGAAACGGCGGAGGAGCGGCAGGGCAACGAGCTTCGCGTCGGCGACGAGATTTGGTGTCTGCGGGACGAAGCTCCGACGGCCGGCGAGTATGGGAGTGGAGGTTTGCTGCACCAGAACCACGAACCACCCGAGCAGCAGCCCAGTTGGGAGTCCCACAAGGCCTCCGTGCTGCCGTTCGTGAACCAGAACCCGCAGCAGCGACCGCAGATCCGTGTGAAGTTTGTAATGGACGGCGCGGTGCAGGTGATCCCGCTGTCCTGGCTCGCTGGCGTGGCGAACGTCGGCGTCCTCTCGGTGTGGTGTGTGACCAGCAGCCCCGAGCACGGTTTGTTCCGGGCCGAGGTGGAGATGAAGCGGCTGATGCGGTTCGGCGTCGCCGAGAAGCAAAACGAGGACGTGCAGAATCCGCTGCGGCTACAGGACGCCGCCGTCGGGGACGCAGTGGTGCCGCTGGACTACCTGCGGCAGGAGGTCAACCACGGCGCCCCCCGGGCGAAAGCGGCCGCGAAGCAGGCGCCGGAGAACAACCAGAGCGTGCTGGACATGATGCGGCAGCGCCAAGATCGTGCGCAACAAATAAGACCTGCCGTCGTGGACGAGCCAGAGGACGACGACGACGCGGCGGGCGGGAAGGCCACGGCGCTGACGCGGGAGGGGAAAATCAAGGAGGTGGTTCTGAACGAGAACAAGACTGTCCTCCAGCAGCCGAACAAGCAAAGGTCGACGTGGAGACCCTACGTTAAAGTGAAGTGGCACTTTCTGGACCAGCATCGCAACGTGATCCGCAAGGAGGAGGAGATTCTGCACGCGGACAGCTACACGCAGTTGCTGCCGCTGTCCAAGACCCGGAACACGCGCACCGTGAAGGTTCGGCCGCCCCGCAACCAGCCCTTCAAGGATGAGCAGACGGGCGAGTCCCTGATCGTGGAGACTCTCGTAAACGAGTCGGAGTACCAAACCAAGAAGCTGGAGCAGAACGTGCTGTCCCTCCTGGCGGACACCGGGCACGCATCTGGTGGAATGATGGGCGTCAGCACAGTTGGGGGAACGACCGCGAACACCCCGCAGGTGTACGAGGCGGAGGAGCCGCTGCTGCTGAAGTTTCTGTCGCTGTGTGGCAGCCGCGTGTCCGTGCGCGGCGACCGGCTAACCGTGGCGCAGAAAAAGACGCTGCGGCTGAAGTTTTCCGACCTAAACATCTTCACCAGCGCGGGCGGCTCGGGCGGGACAACCACCGCGGAAGACGATATTTCTCTTGAGTCGGGTCTGCTCTCCGCCGTCGACTCTGGCAGCGCGGTGTTCGAGAAGAGCCTGGCGCGCCACGCCTTCTTGCACATCGCTGTGGAGAAAAGTGCAAATGCGTCGGTCGCGAGCCCGGCGAGCCAGCAGCGGTGCGTATTCGGGCTGTATGTCCCCTGCATGAACCACTGCTCCCTGGTCTTGGCCGGCCCCTCGCCGGGGATCGACGTGGACGTGGAGCAGCTAGAGAGCGACCTGTACTACCGGGTGCTCCCGTTGCATCAGAAGTACCTGGTCAACGACGGGGTGTGCCACGAGGAGCTCCTCGAGCGACTCGAGTCCAAAGTGGTGCTGGTGCGCGACTGGGAGGAGCTGCAGCAGGAGGCGGATTCCATTTTGTCCCAGATTCGGGATCTGGCAGGCGACCTGATTTACGTGCTCAACTCCAACGTTGGGTTGAAGGAGCTGCGGGGGGTGGGCAACTACGTGTCCGGCGCCCAGGGTGCGGCGGGGCAGCAGGCGGATGGCTGCAGTAGTACCGGTGGGGGCGACGGCGGGCTGTTCGCGGCGGGAGGTGGGGATCATAGTACGACGGCAAACTTCTTGCCCCACGGGGGTGCACCGCAGACCTCAGGTGCGGGTGTTTCTCGCGTGATCAAGCAGCTCCCGATTCTGCGCAAATCACCGGTGGCCATGAGCGACTGGGGAGCGAAGGACGGATTTTTCCCGGCCGACAACGCTGCGTTTCCGGCTTGGGCGATCCAGCGGTTCGCGCGAGTCGTGAAGCAGCGGCACGAGTGGTGGCAGGGCCAGCTGTCGTATGCTCGCGCGGCGGACTTGCCGGTTTGCAATCTGAGCAGCTCCCTCGCGACTAAGGACGTGGCCTCCACAAAGCGGCTTTCGTTGGACGTGGTGTACAATCGGTTTCTGCGCGAGAAGGGGCTGCTAACCTGGGCGTCGCCGCACCAGTACCCCGACCTGGGAAACTACGCGCTGGCGCGGGAGGACATCTTAGAGCAGAAGTCCACGTTCTTGAAACGGTTGCTGCCCCGCAACCTGGGCAGCCTGCTCGACAGCACCGGCGGCGGGGGTGCGGCCGCGAACCAGCACAATGCGCGGTTCCACGGCCTAGACAAGATCGAGGAGGAGAACCACCCGGGCGTGTACCGCAGCGTCTGCCTGAACCTCAAGTTGCACAACGCGTTGACCTTCTTCGCGATCTACAGTGCCGTGGAGATCGCGGACGAGTTCAACTCCGAAATCTCGCTGTACCGTAAAAACCGCGAGCAAAACAAGCAGGAGTTTTTGGAGCACTTCGAGGAGTGTGGTATCCCAGCAATCGAGGCCCTGGTGTCCGCCGTGCGATGCATGGTCTTCAAAGCGGAAGCGGTCGGCGAGCTGACACGACAGGTGAAGGCGGACCTGATTGCTTGCAAGGACGAGTACCTTGAGCTGCTGTTGGAGGACCACATGATCACGGAATTTGGAGAGGAGAACCTGCACGCATGGCACGAGTTGGGTGGGGTCGATCCCGTGAAGAGAGGACCCAGCAGCATCGGTTCCGCGTCCGGTTCCAAAGGAAAAAATGCCGCGGTGCAGCCCATGGATGTGGAAGGAGATGATGAAGAAGGCAATAACTCTACTGGTGACCACGACGCTTCCCCGGGCGGAAACTACCAGGAAGGGGGTAGTTCCAGCTCCACTGCAAATAGGACGAGAAAACGAAAGAGACTCAATTTGTTGATCGCCGAGGACGACGACGATGAGGTTCTTGAGAACGACGGCGACGAGGGGGAAAATAAAGACAAGCCGAAGAGAACCTTGTTCGAAGAAATGGCAATTTTTGCTGCGGAGTTCGACATCACGCTGGATAACGTGGAGCAGTACGTGGAGCAAGCGCTTGGGAACCCCATGCTGGTTTCGAATCTGCCCGTTGCCGTTGTGCGGCTCATGCTGCGATTGCAGAACGCCCAGCGGGACAACGAGACCGTTACCATGTTGACGGAATACCTCTGCAGTTGGCTGAGTTCCCCGGCGAGTTTTCTGTACGACCCGGCTTTGCTGAAGCGCGTGAACGCGTACTCGCAGAAGGGGTTCGAGCTCTTCCTGCGCGAGCTGCGGCTGAACCAGTGCGAGGTGATTCACGCGTCGGCCAACCGGGTGCTGATCGCCACCGGCAAGCTTTCCTTCGAGGAGGCCATGCACAGCTTTCTGCAGATACGGAACTCGGTCCTGCAGGACCCGCTACTGAAGCTTCTCGAGTGCTGTCTGCACGAGCACTGCGTTGACCAGGCGTACTACGGGCTGATGTGGTACGACCCGCAGCACTACGTGGGCTTTTCCATCCCGCTTGCGGACGTGGTCTCGGAGGACGGCACCTACGTTGAGATGGAAAAGGGCGCAGTGGCGTTCGACCGCGCCGAGTGGAAAGCGCTGGGGTGCGAGCAGCTGCCCCAGGGCGTCCAGCGGTCGCTCGGTCTCTTTCTCGAGGAGTACCTCCGGTGTGCCATGCAGTTCGCGTACGAGCGGAAGCAGGAGTCGGTCCGCGTGGGCGGCCGCAAGATGCACCTGGTCGCTGAATACCAAACGTAAAAATGTCTGCGTCTGGAAGATTGCCAGGTTTTTCATGCACATTTTGCATGACTCCTGATGTCTGTGATGCATGCCCTAGCATCACAGATTTTGTGAGGGCTTTCTGATGCCTGTGCCGCATGACAAATGCTCTTTCCGTGCAGCAAAACTTGGGCTCTCTTTGCTGCTCATGCAATACAGATTTTTTTAGAATCCAAAATTAATCAGCATGACAAGTTGGATTCTTCCAGACCCAGACATTTTTACAGGTGATACTGAAACGATCGAGGAGGACATGGTGGCGAAACTCGAGGAGTTATCCTGTGTAAAAACGTCCCCACCCCATAGTCAAGTTGGTAAATCTGCAACGCAAATCTCCAAGTTTTGGGAGCTTTGCATGACAAGTTTCCATCTGTAGCGTCGTGCTGTCCAGCAAGGGCAGCCGCATGAGAAAGCCAGCCTCTCATCCTGTTTACAGCATTACAAAGTCCAAGACACGATTGGAAGTGCCTCTCATGCAGATCCGCATTACAAATGTTCCTGTCATTGCACATTTACATGACAACTCTGGGTTGGGGACGTTTTTACACAGGATAGGAGTTCCTGAATCAGGACCTGGCACGCCGGGCGCAGGTGTACCTGCGCCGGCTACCCCTGGACCGCAGCGAGGACGAGGCCAAGGCTGAGCACTTGCGGCACCAGATTCAAGAACTGGAACAGAACGCAGATCGCTTGGACTCGGACGATTCCGAGTTCGAGGACGAGGAGGAGGACCGAGCCGACGGCGCGGGCGGTGGAAGTAACGACCCGGACGAAGTCTTTCATGGAAGTGATGACGCCGGTGACCTGGATGCCGAGCGGCAACACGAGATGCAAGAAAAGAATTCGCGCTTGGTCCAGGTGTTCCAGGACGTGGGTGTCACACTAAAGAGCCAAATCCTCGCGAAGACCACGGGAGGTGGAGCAGCTGCGCGTCGCAGAAAGAAGCTGCGGGACCCGGATGATCCGGGGCGGGGGCTGGCGCGCGGACAGGAGCTGAAGCAGCTGCGGGACTGGGAGAGTTTATTGCACACCCTGGGCAAGAAGTGGGAGTTTGCGAATGTGCCGCCTCCGCTACGACCTTGGCGCGCGGTCGGACTCGAGTGGGCTCAGCTGCTGATGACGTTTCTGAAGCTGGACGCAAAGTTGGCGGAGTCTTGCGACAAGCTATTTCACATCCTCGTCTTGCAGACCCTGAAGCTGGACGAACCGCACGTGCTGCGGGAGCAGTGGCGGCCGAACTACTTGAGTCTGAAGATTCCGAACTGCGAATGCCCCGGCTGCTCCGTGGTGTACGATGTAGATGTGGCCACGAATCCCTACGACGAGCCCGGCAAGTGGTGGTGCGTGGCCTGTTCCGCGGCGACGTTTTCCACGGACCAGATGGAGCTCCGGCTGATCGACTGCCTGCACAAGGTGGTCAGCAGCTTCCAGTCGCAGACGCTAACGTGCGGCAACTGCCGCAAGCTCAAGGACGACCACCTCTTCGAATACTGTATCTACTGTTCCTCTACCCTCTCCAATGCGGTCCCCACGCGCGACGTGAAGCTGGTGTTTCGGACTATCGAGTCCATCGCCGAGCAACATGAGTTGGAGGCGCTGCGCCGCCAGGTCGCCTTCTACAAATGGATGCTCTAGCGCGGAGACTCGTCCATGACGCGACTTGAGAGTTGTACTCGAGCCGGTGGCGGTCGCAGCTTTTGGCGGTCGCATTTTTGTCTGAGAAGTGTGCCCAACTTCGTTTTAACATCGGATTTTTTGCGAATATCTTTTGACGTTTTCTGCTGATGCACTTTCTGCACACTCAACTACTTTCGAATAAATCTAACGATAGATTCTAACATGATTAGAATCAAGAAACTAAAACAATCTGAAATATCGCGCGTAGACGGTAATGTGGTACGGTCGGGCGTTGCCAAGGCGAGGAAGGATGTTATTTCACCAGTTGAGGTCGCTTTTAATGAAAAGCTGCCCATGCCAGAGCCAGACGCGTGCTTATTACGAGTCAGCGAAGTGAAGTTACCAATTGTTCGCCGGTTGATGACTCCAGTCACCCGTAGTTGTAGCACAGATCGCGGACCGTGTCGTAAAAAAAGCTATCCTCTAAAGTGAATTGTAGTTCGCAGCCGTTTCGTCCTCAGAGTCAGATCGATTTCGTGCATTTTTCTCGTTCTTCTTGCCAAAACCGTGCGTTCGAATCCGGTGAGCCTTTTTTGGATCAGTGCTTGTCGAGGAGGCTAAGGTAAGGACTCGTCATTCGTGAGAACATTCACGTGCTGTCGTGTTGTATGATTGATTTGAGCATCACTTTCACTGCGTCGAAATAATGATGGGCCGAAGTCTATACGGCAAATCATGAACTTGAACCTCTGAAAATGCAGGTTGGTAGTCTCTTTTGGTGCCTTGCTGTTTCGAGATACTAGGCAAGCGCGAGTTGTGTTTTTGTGTAGTTGTATTGGCATAGAAGAATAGTTACTTTTACACCAGCATGTTTTTTTGTAGATCGACATCGAAGTGAACAAAAAATCGCAGCGAGGAGCACAATTAATTTGCAAGCATGGAGGTACAACAACATCACCTGGATCTGTGACGGCCACGGGTGCGCCGTTCGTTGAACGTCTGACACATCGAGGAGTTCTGATTTACTTTTTCCGGCCGAAGCTGGAGGAAGCAGAACGAGGAAGCCAAATATGACGGGCAAGAGCGCCAGTAGTTCCTCGGGGAACCGGAGATTCGTGGAGAGGCGAGACCCCACTTTGAGTCGGTCTTCCAGTTTCTCCATGGGAGGAAGATACCCTAACGAAGTTGACAAGTTGGCCAGCAACAATCCGTTTTTCCCTGGGGGGACGCATCGTGCCGAGTACGGAGAGGATCTACTCACCCCGGGACGCTGCTTCGATCGTAAAAGGCAAGACCAGCTGCGCGCGCAAGGAAGACAGTGGAAAGCGACTCCGGGACCAGGAGCGTACTAATTCGATAGGCTGCTGTATTTTTAGATGATCTCAACTCCAAGATGTGAGCATGTTGCTAGTACCAAAAAAAGAATTACTTCTAATACATTCATTTTGTCCCCGCATCTTCATGTATTGGCGTGAGTCAACAGTTCCAGTTCCAAGTGCAGTTCTTTGGTTAGAGGTAGCTGCGATATCAGGTACAAAACGCAGCGAGTAATCGGCGAGACGCAGCTGGGCGACAATGCCAGCATTACGGCAACGCGTATATACAAAGAGCCTTCCTGGAGGTTTGGTAGCGGGGGAATGTGCACCTACATGCGCGATCAGGCGGGCAGCGCCTGGTTCTCTCCAGGCCCGGGAACGTATTCAAGCTTTATTTTTGTGATCTATCTATAAGAACGTACAACAAACTGGACGAGTTGCATATCTGGTTCATCGTGCACTCTGCCATATCTGGTTTTTCTGCCAACCTAGGGAAAGGTCCTCTCCTGGACTTCATTGTAATATGTTTATCATCAACATCAACCTACAGGTATCGCACGTGGTCACACTTTACCCCTGAGGGGACACAGCTACCGCGGTATACCGGCCCGTCTGTTTCTGCTGACGAGATGTGCTCGCCGAATCTCGCAAGAAGCATGTCCGTGACGATACCAATAAAGTACTGCTTTTGATGGTTGCTCCCGTGCGTTTTTTTTCTTTCAGGTTGCTCCTTTGTGTGTTATTCTTTGAGGGTGCTCCTCTAAGTACTTGTTATCTTTCAACTTCTTGGACGGTGCCACTCATTCCTGTGCAGAGAGAGCTATGCTCCAACAAAAGATGCCTATGCTTTAGACTGTCGAAGATTTTTGATTTTGCTATTCCACTGTATATCTTTCAATCTTTCTCAGGACCGTCAATGACACCGACCGGCTGGCGTCCTGTAATCCGTTCTTTCAGGACGGTACGCACAGGGCAAATTACGGAGAAACCTTCCTGAAAAACGGTCGAATCCGCGATGATAAGGCGATTGCTCGCTTGACTGAGCAAGGGCGCCACTGGAAGCAAACTCCAGGTGCGATTTTACATCTTGTACTTCGATTCGATGCCAGGGATAGAAAGAATATTTTGCATCGCATTATTTTTCTGAAGCCAGGGATGATTGATGAGGGTTTCGGCCCGCTTTCCCTCTGGCAACTCCCCGGGTCTGTTGGTTCACCACTAAAACGGGCGGCGTTTCTTCAGATCTCGGTGGCGACCGGTTGAGACACTGGCCACCAGCCACTTTTTACAAGCAGGAACATAGATAGTACGTTAAGCAGTTACTCGCTCGCCTGAAGAAGCGAGCACACAATTGATTTGCTCTTCGTGCGCATGTCGAACGAAATGGCGTCGAGTCCTCAATTATATATAATCCAGGTGCGGGCACTTACAAAACGCCAGTTGCGTTGGCGCCAACTGGCGATAGCATTGCTGGGGAAGCAAAGCTGGACCGAAACCGAATCACGCACGAGCCCGCCTGGGTGTTCGGAACTGGTGCGCAGATTGCCTTTGACACCATGCCTGGCGTCGTTGTGGATTCGCCGGGTCCCTGTGCGTATGACAAGTTCGTCGACATTATGTAGGGGGTTCGTTCACGCAGCGGACTTCGTCGCGGGGAATACAAGTAAAACGAAATAGTACTGAATGCCTCAAGTCTGTTGTAAGATTGTTAGTTTCAAGGAGTCGTCGTCGTATGTTAAATAGGAACAGTCAACACCATCTCTTCTCGGGAGACCACTAAAAGTAAACATCGAACAAATTCGCAAGTGTAAAATCTTCAGCAGCAAGACGTGCTTGCCCGCCTTTAGATTTTGGAGGCATTGTACACATTCAAAAGCATTACTACCACGGTTTGTACACTTCATCTTGACAGCGTCCCGCTTGTAACCAATCGACCAACAGAACTTGTACGAAAAAAATCTTGGATTACAAAAAGTGCTTCTTCTGCCAAAGCTGGTTTGTTATCTGCTAATCTGTTCTTCCACCGATGATCCTTGCAGGGAAGCGTTGTGATCTAAGCTGAGTGAAAAGAGTGAAGTTCGAGACGTCACCGGTGGCAGTGCTAGCTGCCATTGAGATGATTATATCCGAGTTCTCTCTTGTGCAGGCATAGGCTGGATTTACTCGGCACAAGTTGAGAGGTTTCTTTTTAGCCGTTAGACTTATCAGACAAAATCCGCATTTGCTTTTCAAGAACAGGATGAAGCGCTTAGCGGATAAGCCACTACTATGATTGTCTTTGTCACTTTCTCGCGGACGGCCGGTTGCGAAATGGGATGTGGCACCAGCAGTGCGCAGCAACACGGACCTCCCTCGTCGCGGGAGGAACCGCGAGCGAGGGTGAAAAGCAACGCTCTCGAGCCATCATTTCTGGAAGCGTCGTATGGAACCAAAACGAAACCCGCGGAACAGCAAGATTTGGCGAACACAGGAGAAGGTGGACGCCAGAAAAGCCGCAACGTAACGCGGTCTGCGCATACTGGGAACGGGCTGGCTCCGGTAGCGCTGCAGTTTGTTGCTGGTGCAACAGAAAGAGCGAGTTCTCCGATAGACAGGGACACGCCAGCAACTTCGCCCAGCGCTCGGCGCAGCGGCGATAGCCGGCACCTGCTAGGGGCAGAGATGCGGCAGCGCGCGCTCGACGAATCCTCGGATGTACCTCACTGATGTTGGTTTTGAATTTAGTTTTTGCCTGTCCCTCGAACACCCCTCCATGAGCAGTGAGTTCCCCTATTGCTGCAGAAGGGTGGTAAGAAATAAGTGTTGAGTACCTATGCTCTCTTCAAAGATGGGTGATGAGTCGAGCCAAAATCTAATTCATGGATTGACTGAGTTGTTTCTAGTTGTAAATAGTAAATTAACTGAGCGAATGAACTCGTCGCGTCTCATGACAGGACGTGTCAGAGTGCTTCCCGCGCGAAGTGGCGATCTCCGGGCGGTCATGTGAATTGCTGAAGAGCTGGGTGCAGTGGGGCGTTCGACAGCGAAGGATGACCTTGGAGCAAAAGTACAAGAGCATGCAGAACGATGCACGTTTCAGTCGCCCAGTACTGGTAGCGCAGCCAAGCCCGCCCGTCACGCCCAGAGAGCGGACTAAAAAGACTCGGGCTGCTAGGGAGCAAGAGAAGAGGAGGATTTGTAGACCAGGAGGTTCTACTGAAGATGGGAGTCTTCACGACGGTGTCGATCCTCCCCCGGATATTACGTCGGAGGAAGCGAGTGCAGCAAATACATCAGGAGGGTCGGCGACGAACAAACGGCCGAGCAAGACGTCCGCGCTCGACGAGCTCCGGTCCAAAAGTGCCGCGTCGCGCAGTCTACCGGGCAGCGCCAGCAGCTCCCCCGAGCACGCGGGCCGGAAGTCTGCGCTGGGCAGCGGGTCCTCCTCGGCCGGCAGCTTTTTCGGGGACCTGCAGGAGGCCCGCGAACGGGCTATGGACGCCCAGGGAACGCGGCTGAAACTGAACCGGGCCATGCCCGAGCAGCAGGTAGCGCACACCCCCAGCATGAGCAGCGACGTAACCTCCACGCCCGGGTTCGGGGTGAACACGCCGGGGTTTGGCCAGTTGGGGACGCCGGGGTTTGGAGGACCTTATTCCACGTCCGTCAGTGCGGCCGGCTCGGCGGTGTCCGCCTCCCCGCTTCCGATACTCAGCCCGCTGATGACCGCTACAGCTGCTGCGCAACCTCTAGTTCCGGGCGGCGCTGGTACGGCAGAACGCCTGGATGCGGTTGCGGAGGTGGACGACGAGGAGGACCTCGACAGCGATCTTTTCATCGGCGAGGGGGAGCTGGTCGTGGCCTTCCCGCCGGGGACCACCGAAGCTGGTGATGGTACGGGAAAAGTCCTGGCCGATAGTATAGTAGAGGGCGGAGCTTCATCATTCACAGCGTCACCTCCACCTGCGAAGAGGACACATTCGGGCACATCAGAAGAGGGAAGAACAACTGCCGCTGAGGCTTTACATAGAGGCGGTGCAAGCGATGCTTCAGTAAATCATAGGCCTAAAGAAGATGACCGCGGTCGTAGTGCCAACAGAAGCACCGCACCGTCGACTGCGACAAGAACTACACGGCCGGGCGCGTCTCTTTATTCCAGCACCAAAAATACAAGGGAGAAAGAAGACAGGAGCAAGGGGGCAGCCGACGAAGAAGAGGCAGGGTCTTCCGGCGACGAGCTTTTATTTCCAACCACGACGGTGGCCAGTGCAAGTGCCGACGTACAGGTGGACCACCATGACGAAGAGAAGCAGGTGGGAGCGACTTCGACGGGCGCCGCGGGGACCAGGCACCGGTACGCGATAAATGAGTCTGTGTATTACTGGTCAGGCTCACGAAACCGTTGGGTGCCTGGAACCGTGAAGGGAGTTGTATCGGAGCAGGTTTTTCTGGTAGACAAGAAAAACCGCAACTGTCTCAGCCATGTGTGGATTGGAGAGATGCTGTCACAGCGCGACATGCGCCACGACAGAGTACTTGGACTCTTAGACAAGGTCCTCAAGGACGCGCCTCCTGGTCGTGTGTTGCGCGATGATTTTTCGTCCGACTCTTCCACCTCGGAGACAGACACGAAACGGCCTCCCCCACCGGGTGCCCAGAATAGAACTGACATATCCTCGTCTGAAGACGAGGACGGTTTTTAGACTCACTGGACAGAAACTGACTCGCCTCGCACAGGCGCCGCAATCTCCCCATGTGCATGCTGCACGTTGCCGCACCATCACTCTAGTACAAGTTCTTCATCTTGCAGCCTTGCTGACAACATGGTTACCTTCTGGCTTTCATTTCTGCTTTCCACTGTGTCTTTTTTCTGCCGCGACGAAGTGACATATTAGTTGCGTGCGCAAGGAAATTTCGTGTTCAATTTTCAGGTTCAGTCCGTGTACTTGTGACTGCAATTCATGAAAAGGTTCAGATAATTTGCGGAATATGGACAATTTTTGCGAGCAGCAGCAGAGGCAGATCCTTTTATTATACTTTTCTTCCTCATGCAGTAGCAGTCGTTTTCGAGCCGTCTGTGTCTGTCTTCGAGGATCTTTCGTTCACGATACAACGCTCGTCGGGCAGTTCTCTTTGCCTGAAAAGCGACAGCGCGATCGTGCACGAAAAACTTCGTTGGTAGTTCAGCAGGATCATGTATGACGAAGCTATGAACGCTGCGTCTGCGCCAGAGCAAGAGTCGCAGAAGCAAAGCTGGACGGGGGTCGACGAGATTCCGGGCATCGTGCGCAGCGTGCGGCTGGCTGTTGCAAGTGGAATCTCCGTGCCTGAGCGGATCCTGGTAATCCAAGCCATCCAGAGGTGGCTCGAGGAGGACGCGGCGGCGCTCCGGCAAGCAGAATGGGAGGACCTCCGGCGGCCGGCGGCTTATCACGATTTGATTCGGGGCAACTGCGTGGCGACGTGTAGGTACTATCTCGAAAATTTAGAACGGCTGTCCTGCGACGTGGACACGACACCACCAAACCCGCCCGCGCCGGGGTCGCGAGCGAGCCACGCGTATGTACGCCGGGAGCCAAAGGGCGTCGTGCTCGTGATTGGGACTTGGAACTTTCCGTTGCCGCTGCACATCAAACCGTTGGTCACCGCCATCGCGGCCGGGTGTCCCGTGGTGCTTAAGCTGAACGAGATTTGCGAGCAGACCAGTTTGGCGATGCAGAACGGGCTTGCGAAGTTTCTGGCGGGGTTTTCATCCACGTACGTGCAGACGGTCTTCGGCGGCGTGGCGCAGACGACGAAGCTCCTGCAGTACCCGTTTGGAATGATTTTCTACACGGGGAACGCCACGGTTGGCAAGATCATCTACCGGCAAGCCGCCGAGCATTTGACGCCGGTCACACTGGAGCTCGGCGGAAAGAACCCCGTGGTGCTCCTTCCCGGCTGCAATCTGAAGTACGCGGTCCGCAAACTACTGGACGCGAAGCTGCAAAACGTCGGACAGTTTTGCGTGAGTCCCGACCACGTGTGGCTGCACCGTACGCTGGTGCCGGAGTTTCGGCGCCTGGTAAAAGCCACGCTGTTGGAGTTCCTCGGGGAAAATCCCAAGGCCTCTCCCCGCTACTCCCGCATCGTCAATCAGCGACACTTTGACCGCATTCTGGGAATCGTTAAGAACGGTTGGGAGTACCTTTCCGGTCGTTTAGAAGAAGGCACAACCACTTTTTCTTTCGTGGAGGACCTAGCGCCAGCGGGGTACGACCCACTTTCGAATGCGGATGCAGCGGACCGGTATATTCCGCCAGTGGTTCTGTTGAACTTGCCCAAAGAGGCTCGCTTGCGGCAGGAGGAAATTTTTGGGCCCTGCCTCGCGGCAAACGTGTTTGAGGAGCTAGAAGATATTTTCAGTTTCGAATCCAGCAATAACGGGGAGCCGTTGGCACTGTACATTTTCGGCGATACGAAGAGCGAGGAGGCAGAGATTCTGGAGATTCAAAACCGCTTGCGCAGTGGAGGCGTCTGTGTGAATGATGCGATCGTCCACATGCTCGCGGAAACGCTTCCCTTCGGAGGCACCGGCAGCTCTGGTTTTGGGAACTACCGAGGTGACTGGGGCTTCAACACCTTCACGCACGAAAGAGCGGTAATGGTTTTCGACAAGGATGATCTACACCCAAGATTACAGGAGCAGCAGGATTTGTAATGTTTTCTGGGAGCAAGCAAAAGAAAATCTACAATATGCGAGCTTGTTGAAGTGCTACATCTTTCTGACGCCTTATCGGCTTTGCTTATGTTGTTGATCACCTATTTCGGTTTGGCTTGAGTATCACGGACATTCTTGGCTCGCGCAACACTGGTAGCGATTGCCTTCGGGGGACGCAAGTCCGGACTGTTTTTTGTTGAATCAAAAATACGTGTCGCTCTGTGCTTTACGACTCATATGATGTGCAGACTTGTCGTGGAGGTATTCTATCATTATCAGGTTTTTTGTCGGTTCTGCATCCATTTGGGACTCTTTTCGTTTGAAATTCGTATGTGGATTCATTTGTCAGCCTTTCGTTCGCAGAAAAAGTGCTTTTCGTATCGGGTGTGTAATCTCCAATTGCGCGTACGGGGCGCCACATGGCGGGGTCTCCTGTGTATGTTTCCCAGGTCATTGGTTGGTGGTTCTATTTCGCTCGTTATAGGTGCGCGAGCACGGATACGCAAGCAAACGTTGTAGTTGTAGGGGGAACAAACATGCAGGATTTTGGTTTCCGAGTCCAATCGTAACCGAACGACCGTTGTATTAATTTCTCGACCCTATTTGGAGGTACTTAGAACTAGAATCAACGCACTACAGATTGGTGATTTTTTGAAACACGAAGTCCACGACGTCCGCTGAAGGACCTGAGTATACTTCATCGAAAGTTCTCAAAAAATGCCGAGCAACCCCGTGCACACGAAGCTAGTGCCGAATCCGGCAACGCCGGTGGTCGGCTCCAATCCTCCTGCCACCTACGGGCGCGGCGACGTGCGTGCGCACAGCGAGCCACGGTCCTACTGGGCCAGCGCCTTCGGGACCGGCAATTACCATTTCCGGGTGGTGGGTGACGACTGGATCCAAAAGCGCAATGGGCAGGTCGTGCGCATGACGACACAAACGGAAGAGCTCAAAAAGAACGTTGCGCAGTCGGGTGTGCGGTCTTGCTTAACCTGGGACCTCTCCCAGCGCGATAAGGTCAAAGCAGGCGATCCGTATGTGGAGCTATGCATTGCAAATCTCGATCTGGGTCTGGGATGAACATGTTATGCTGGTGAACTGTGGACGAGAAACTCTGGTCACGTCAGCCAAGCATGACGGATTTTCCGAATGCTTGTTGCCCATCTATGATATTCGCAGCGCGCATGATTACAAAAATGACAAAGAATAACAAAGCTAGTACAACACAGCTACTGTGGGTCATACACTAGAATCTACTGGAACTGGAAAATTGAAGAACAGACAACAATACAAGGTCAACTTTAATATTTCCAGACCCAGGCAAATTTGCAGTGGATGGGAGCCCACTAAGCACCAGAAGTTGAACAATTACGACATTAACGGGTTCATCTACGCTTCCGCGTCCAAGCCCGTGCCACCCCCCGAGCAGAACCCCAACAGCGGGCACTGGATCACGGAGGTTAACAGCACCACGGGTGAGTTCAATGTGGTGAACAACCTGAAGCCCAGCCCTTTCAACCACAGCTACCGTGAGGCCGAAGTGAAGAGATTTCGCAGCGTGAACTTCGGCAAAATGCCCGCTGCGGGGCAAGTGCAGCCGGCGCCGATCGTGACCTGCTACGACATCCAATCCTTCGTGCCTGTGCGAAAGGCAGAGCGCATGCCGAACTACCTGCGCATCAAACCGAACCTGTAGGAGCAACTTTCAACGTACAACTGACTCCGGAACAATTTCCAACCTTCTAGTAGTTGAAAGAATAAAACTTTTAGTAGCGGCCTCGTGCTTGTTTTTCTCGTTTGATCCTCGTCCTCTACCTAGCTGCACATGCACGCACGCAAGATTACCCTGTCGTCTGTACGGAGCTGGCTCTTGCTCTCTTCACAAGTAGATTATCTTTTGTTCCAAACGACAACGGTACGTCTCTGCAACAACCAAGAAATATCATGTAGCTGCTGTTGCGCGTTAGATAGAATATGACATTATACCGTTTTGATTGCATCGATACAACCTGTACTTTTGTTGATTTGCCCCCTATAGATGAGCTGTGGCACCTCAGCTACCGACAGAAGCAGAATGCGTGGGAAATGAATTTTTGACGCACCACCATCACATGCCCGTAGCTCGTTGGATTCACATAGGGGTTTCTATTAGCAAAGCTTCAGCTTTTGCTTTTTTTGGCAGGGATCGTGTCATTGCTTTGGTGAAGACTCACTGCCCGCATAGCTATGAAAGGCGTGCTGGATCATGATGTTTCACGTAGTCGCATCCATGCGAAGGATCAGAGGAAAGGCGTTAGCGCTCTTTGGTTTGAGCGCGAGATGAGGCACGTAGTGGTGCACGGGTGTGAGATGTCTCTTTTTTTGGTCTTTGCAACCCGCGCATGTAGCACCCACCGCCACCGCTCTCTCGTAACATACGTGTACGAAGAACAGAAGTAACAGTAGTGCACAGTGTACGAAGAACAGAAGAATCGGAGGGAAAGGTTGTAGAGGTACTTGAGCGACTGTTTGGTCTTGGTATGATCCTACTGAGTGCTCTCCTGAGGAACCGTCTGTTTCTGTGAGGGGTAAGAAGAGTCAAGTAGAGCCGATTCATTAATATCCTTCTGGGCACCGTCGACGGTTGTACGCGAGCATTTTGATGTGGATCTTCACTTCTTGCAGCGAGAACTGCGGCATGTTCGCTGTCGAGAGGCATGCAAGCTGGAGTACAATGGCACCGCAGCCGATCTCTCCCAACACGACTTCCCGCCCTTGCTGGTACACCAACGCCCATGTCGACGGGGCGACGTACGACAACAACGGACTGCGACTCTACGATTCCGCTTGTGGCCCGGAAGACAAGGTTGATATCAGCCGTTCTGGCGACGTCCACGGCGAATTGCACCCCGGATGGCAGTGCACGCACCTCCACCAGCACTCGAAGCAGCCGGCATTCCGTTCACCAGCAATCGTCTTCTCTCGTCGTCCCTACAAACAGATCCTCGGTCGTTGGTGGCACGACCGCTACGACGACCACCAAGCTCGGTGCCCAGCAAGTTCAAGTGAAACAGCAGGAGAAGGAGGAGAAGAAGCGGCTGAGAAAAATGCAGAAAGAAGCGGATCGGGTTCGCAAGGAACAAGAAGCAGAAATTGGCGAGGTAGGGGAAGCGCTGAAAAACCTGGTGCAGACGCACATCGGGTTCGTCGCCAGTATTTTGCAAAAGTACCCGCAACTCGAGCAAGGGCTCGGGGCTTTTCTGTCCTTGTCCAAGGGGTCCGACCTGGTTCGGGTCTACATCATGCAGCAGCGCGTTCTTCCCAGCTTTTTCCCGAGCCTGCCTTACTCCATGCGTGTCGACATCGAGCGGCGCCTTGGCGGCATGGAGCGTGTGAAGGCAGGCTGGCAGGTGGAGCGCTGCCTTCAGCTGCTCATGACCGACGACTCCGGACTGGTCACCCCCGCAATGTTTGCCGAGGCTGTCGCCCGGGTCAAGAAAACTTGCGAGGACCTCGGCGGCATGGCAGAAGTTGTAACCGCTTCAAGTTCAAGTGCGAGTGCAGCAGCAGTTCCGACCGATCCGACAGGACTGGTCCTTCTGGCGCAGCAGATGAGCACCCCCAGCGGCGGCGCGGGTACTAAAAGTTCTTGTAGCGAAGATCGTACAAGAGCAGGAGCGGGTGCGGCGGCCAAGGATCTGTCCACCTCCGTCGAAAATCGTAAAAAGAAGCTTGCGTGCTTTCTGCTCGAACACGCACTACGCAAACAGCTGGAGGCTTGGGATCACGAAATCGCTCGGATCGAGCAAGACAAGTGGCAGGCGTTGTACACAATGATGGATGAGCGGTTTCTGAATCGCAGGGACGCCGCCGGAAACCCGGTAGTGTTTGCCGCGGACGACGAAAACTACCTGCTGGACCTCCGGGACGAGCTGATGCGCCGAATGGAGCTGGAAAATGGCGTCTACGGGCTGATTCTCCGTCGGGCGAAGACCAGCTACGCAAATGCGCGGCTGACAATGGAGAAGCGCGTGCCGATGCAGCCCTACGAAGTTACGGTTCCGGACTTCGCGTATTTTGTTAGTTTGGATAATGCCGTAAAAATAAGTATATAATGTTCGCTGTGGCCTTTGGAGGCGATCGTCATCTGTGGGGTCCACATTCGTCCTAGAAAGTGTAGTGAAGAATTATGTCGCAATGTTCTTCGAGTTTCTGTCCTAACTTAACCATATTTATCTTTTGCATGGAGGAAACTCACTAATAGCAATCTCCACTTCCCTATCCGCAACTCCCAGATCGGCCTTGGACTTGGTAGAGCGGGCTCGTCGTGAGATTGAAGAGAAGATCGCACACTTTGCAAGGAAGGCGGAGGACCTGCACGCACAGATTCTGCAATTCATCAGCCGACGCAAACTGCCCGACTGGGTGCATGTCCCGGTCGAGCGGGAAGATCACTGGCGAGATGTCTGGGATGCCGTGGCCCCGGTGGAAGTTTTTGAGGCGGCCAACACCAAGTCTCCAAAGAAGGGCAAGCTTCAGCCCGCGTCCCCGACTGGAAAGAAACAGCCCCCGCCTGAGCAGAGCCGACCTAGCCGGAGTGCCGTTTTTGTTGTTGCGCGGGCGCTTGCTTGTTCGTTATCGTGACATCATATATAGTTGTTTTGTTTCGGCGGAAATTGTTCTTGTGTGTGCGAAGTCTGCTTTTGCAAAAGTTTTTTTTTTCTTCAGGTGATAGCGCGCTGATGCTGATGCAGCGGCTGGACCGCATGGTGCAATTGGTTTGCGACGTGAAGGAGGAGATCGAAAAAAAGTGTCCGATCTGGGAAATCGACGGGCCGGCGGTGGGGCGACCCTTGGGGAACTTCGTGCAGCATTTGTCGGAGCTTAGTGAGCGGCTGCTGGAAATTCTGGACCACGATGAGTCGGAAACCGATAGTGAGGAATCTTCTTCCACCAGCACACCAGAGCGATGCGAGGAAGGCACGAATGCAAGTGGGGAGATGACATTCCAAGCCGCATCCAGTGGCAGCATTAACACCTCCACGACCCGCAGCGCCGCTTCGTCCAGAAGAAGCTCAGTGCAGCTGCTCCCTGATCTGGCGCCGCAGCGTACCACTACAGTGCCTGGCGCGAGCGACAGCAGCAGTGTTCAGCTTCGTAAGCTGTGTAAGCAATGGGACCAGGACTTCCGTTTGTGCTTGCAAAAGCACCAGGATCCCGTCAGCAGTGTGTTTGAGGAGCACGGGCCCTACTTCGTGCGCCGCAGAAATTTTCTCAGTCTCTCGAAATTTCGGGCCGTAGCGGAGTCGTGTTTCGCGGTGCGCCTCCATTTTCATCCAAGAATTCTCACGTGAGCTGCAGCCTGCATTTGAGACCTGATTTGGCGTTTACACGTCCCTTGTACAGAAGGAACTCGCATGAAGATGTACTTCGAGGTTTGTAAATTGATTTACAGCATCATGCCTTTGCAGGCGCGGTGTGACGCGTTCCGCGTTGACCGACCGCACTGCTACCTACGACGGAACTCCATGTCTTTCACCACCAATTTTTATTGAATCAGTTGTATTTAGCCAGAACAACTTTGTCAAAATTAACAGTCCATCGAGCGACCGCCTCCACTGCCTGTGTAATTGATTTATCGGTGTTATTAAAGTTTCCCGTTTGAGTAATTGTTTCCCACTCCGCACGCCAGGAGGCTCAGTTTCGTCAGCAAGTCTATTTTTCATACCGCCTACCACCCTGCTACGCATTGATAAGATTGAGATACGCAGACGCACCGATTCATGGTCGGACGCTTGGTCGATGCCTGCCACACACTACAGCCTTACCCACACTTGAGTAACACGAACGCACGATAGAGGTGGTGGTACACCCGTCCTTGCGACCTCCGCGTCAACACGTCTGCAGTTACAAAACCTGTGACCAATGCCATGCCTGCCGGTTAGAAATGAATCTTCTCTTCTCTGCAACTACTAAACCCAGAATAAAGAAACGGTAGTATCTGCCACGCGTTTTTCGAAGAAGGCATCAACCTTCCAGACACTACATGCTAATGAGAAACGAAGCCTGCAGCTCTCTGTTGAAACTGTTTACTAACGAATGTAGGAAAAATGGCTGTACCTGAATTACACGCGCGATGCAAGAAGCGAAGCATCAGAAATTGCGGAACGTCGCAACTTCGAATTTCTCCTAGAAGTGCAATTTTCAGCAGAAAAAGGAGTGTGCGATGTTACATCTCTACCTGCAGAAGCTTCATTTCAGTGCGTCTCATGCATGGTGGCACAGTGCGGCTCACATATCTCAAAAGTCAACCGCAAGAGGAGTGGGATGTGTCGTCGACGTGAGAGTTGGACACCTGGACAGCTAATGCGCAGTTTTGGTCCGTTTTGGAATCAAGAGGGTACCGAGCGATGTTTATCAAACTTTGCAATCAAAAATTTTACGGTCTTTCTCTTCTGTCGAGCAAGCTTGCAGTGCTGCCCAAAACTGCTAATGTCAAAACGAACATTCACGTATGTACGTCTAGTTTATTTTGAAGTTGGTACACAAAGGCACTCGCAGGCCGCGGCGCTTGCAGGTGCCGGCGCATGTTTTGAGCGCGTCATGGCCAGCCAGGTTCCATCGCGATCGCTTTTTGCGCTTTTCTGCAGCAGGATCCGAGCACCAGGAGGCGTCGTTGCAGTACTTTCCTTGTCCCAGCACCTCCTATTTCTTCCTTCGGAAGCAGCTTCGAACGTTGCGGAGCTGGAGGCATCCAACAAAGGTGGACCTGCTAGCACGTCAGGGCAAGAGGACGAAGGTGACGATGTGTTTACTGGCATAGATAATGAAGATTACAGCACATCAGGACAGGCCGGCGGAGATTCAGCGGGCGAATGGAATGCAAATCTTGCTGAAGAAGAGGCAGAGATAACGGACAGCCTACCTCCCCCCGTGGCAACTGATACTGCAGGGAAGACCGCAGTCGGTGATCAGGTTTCCGTGACGTCGAGGCAGGACGAAGATGCGCAAAATCAAAGCACCGAAGCAGTACAGCCGGTAGAAAGCCGGGAGGAGCGGACCCATGTTACAACAAAGCGCAAGAAGAACAAGCGAGGTCGGCGGGCACCACGATATACGTCACATGAGGCTCTTCGTGCAGAGCTCTCGATGTTCGAGGGCACTCGGGAGGGCCACGAAGAAGTGCACTATCAAATGTAAAAATGTCTGGGTCTGGGAACTTGTGATGCTGGGTGGCGTCTCATGATGAGGCTACAAATGCTGGCTCAGCATGACAGCTTTCTCAGCTTCTAGGTGTTGCCTATTCTGCATGACAAACTGTGTTTCTGCATGACAGAACAATTGGGCTCTTGGGTAACGTGCATGACAGATTTAAGAATCATCCCAGACAAGCATGACAAACATCCACTCTTCCAGACCCAGACATTTTTGCATTTGATATGCACCACATAGTGCACGACTGGTTCCATTCGATCGGGTTCGCGGTTATCCACAGTAAATTTCCCGTACACGTACAAATGCGGTCTCCGCATGACAAAACTTGCCTTCGATTCTAGTTTAGCATGACAAGTTTCACGCTTCAAATTGGTAGAATTTGTGATGCATCTTGTACATGTACGGGAAATTTGTATTGCATAGCGGTGGACGAGTATGCGCGCACACACGACGAGCTTCTCGAGGGCCATCACAACGTGATGTTCGGCTCGATGAGGCCCGGGTGTCGAGCGCAGAAATACCGAGCACCCAACCAGTTTCCGCACCAGTACTGGTTTAATGCGCTTTTTGTCGGCATCGGCTGCGTCGTCGCGTTTGCGGGGCTACTCGTTTGCTGGTGGGCGAAGACGGTCTTCGAGGTGGGGTCTTTCGGGCTCTTCGGGACGAGTGCGGGAAAGGAAAAGTATCAGAAGCGGCACCGGATAAAGACACGAGTGTTGCACATCTCTTTGGTTGCGCTTCCGATGATGGCCGCCGTCTGTTACCGGGAATGGGTACTGCTGATCACCGATGTTTGTACAACAACTTGCTTTTTTTCGTTTCGGTTCGTCTACTCCAAACGATATGGCGGGATAAATTTCATATCTCTTTATTCACTGATTTTATTGTCTTCATGGGGGCTGTGGACACACAGCTCGATTTATGATCGTGTTGTCAAACTACAACTGATCATGTACTTTCTGGATGTGACGGGATGCCAAATCGGTGAGGGCTGTTGAAGATAAAAATTCAACTGCAGGCGGAGCTTGCTGAGAGGTGGCACGACCGGCGCGAGATCCTGATTTTGTCCGTGGTGACGCACCTGGATTTTAAGTCAGCGGAGCACCGCGCTTGGTTGGAGCAGCTCCCATATAACTTTCTAGGCGTGGACTGCCCAAACCTGGAGGTGGCCGAGCACACGCCGGGCTCTCTCGATTCCGCTTGGACAGTGCTGCCGCTTGCCTCCTGGGCCCTGGACCACACCTGGAAGCATCACAAGTATGTTTACTGGGCGGATCCCGCAATCGTGCCCGTGCACAGCGCAGCCTTGCGGATCCAGGCGCACGAGCACATGGAGGAGGGGAGGCTGCTTGTGGTGGACGAGCAGGGTGGAATGCTGCTGCACACGGGGCCACTGTCCCGCGATCTCCTCAGCAAAGCCCGCGTGCTGTGCAAAAGTCCCGTCGAGCACCCTTTCGTTGCGCTCCTGGCACTCGCCGTCGGTGGGGATAGTTGGTACGAAACATGTTGCCGTATTCCTTCTATGCAGCTGGTCTGCATGAATTATTCTCATGGTGGAACAACCATATTGGCCCGTGGCAGCAGAAAAGTGTGCAGTGAACGCGCCCGTCTTTTACACTGTCTACCGCGAAAGTGCAGTGCATTTGTCTTTAGGACGATGTGGCTCTTGATCATTTTCGCAGAACTTCATTTCACAGGCACGCGGCGGTGGACAAAGTAGCAACGCAGACCGAGGAGGGACGATGGATGCTGCGCGCTATCGAGACTAAGCACGCGAAGGTTTTGATGAATTTGACCTTGCCTATGGCGTCCACAGAGCCGTGGTGTGAACTGTAGATGTCACCAAGGCGACGTCCTCTTGAGTCTCAGCCGATAATCGGAGCACTCTATCTGTGGATGAAGATGACAAGCAGGATACTGAGTATCTTTCTGAGGGTGGCAAGGTTGTAGATGCAGTACTCAGACGTGCAGCCATTGATGAATGGGACCGCATCAGGAAAAGGAAAGAAACGGATTTTATTCGCGCCGTTACTGTTTTTGCATCGTTGCATCTGCTCAAGCGATTTGATAAACAACGCATCAAATGGCGCTTCCTGCCCGGTGAAAAAAGCAGTGGCGTGGTTCGCCTGCGTTTTTGCGTCCATCTACCGGGAGTAGCTGTCGCGTAAAAAGCGTGTTGTGAGTGTGTAAAGTGCATAACTTTTCCAGAAAGAGTGTGAGGTTCTTCTTTATCTGCCAGCGACGACTGCGCGCTTCAGGACGTTGCTTCCGGGCACACAGCGTCGTCTGCGCATTGCTGCGTGAAACAAATTGTGTGCTTCAGAAGTTTTTTGGGGCAACTCAAATCTGAAGTGGGTCGGTGAGAAGATTCGGACCGAACAGAGTGCAAGATGACGTGGCGTTCTTTCTGTTTCTCTTTCTTGTGTGCTCTTTTCCCGCTGCAATGCTGCGGTACGGGAGCGACGGACCCGGAACCATCGTCCATTTACACTGCGGACATGGCCGTTGTGGGCTATCACATCATGGAGAAGGCGGACTGCGGTGTCTACGTCTGGAAGGATTCCCTAAGAACTGCCAAGCCGATGCTCATTGATTTCAAGCAGAAATTCACCACATGCAGCGGGTAAGTTGACCGATCTAAGGTTGCATGTGATGGTGCAACTGGAGTTTCAATCCCAGACTTGAGAAAAGTTCATTTTCGATTGAGTCCAGCCACATTGCCAATTTTGTGCTTATTTTTTTTAAGGTCCGCCGTCGCGGCTGCTTTCTGTTTTTTCGGCCCGAACAATTCAATATTTCTGACCTTTTAAATTAGGTATGGCACGTGGGCCGACGTTTTCGCAGAAATCGAAAAGCAGCTCGCGGTGAAACCCCGGGTTGAATATCAGCAGCCGGTGCGATTCTTCACACCGGATGGTCAGCCACTGGATGGGGGGACCAGTTCCAGCGCACCGCTGCCGCAGTCTTTTTTCCTGCTCGAGGGCGGCCAGTGGCAGTGGCCACCGGTCCGCAAAGGGTTCGAGCACGTCATCGCGATCGCAGGGCACCGGACCGTGAAGCTGGTCACTCAAGCCGTGGTGCCCTCGGTTTTTTTCGTATCCGGTTTGGTCACGGGGGAAGAGGCGGAGGGATTGATCGCGTACGCCAAGCCGCGGTTCAAGGAGTCCAACGTGATCAAAATGGACAACGATCTCGACGGAGACACGAAGAAGTACCGCACCAGCCTGGATTACCGCCCGAAGGCAAACGAAACCGCACTGATCACGACGTTCCAGGCAAGAGCAGCATCTCTCACCAAGCTACCCAGCAGCCACCAGGAAGAACTGCAGATACTGAAGTACGACACGAAGGGATTCTACCACGCCCACGACGACGCCTCGAATCTGATTTACTACGCGCAAAACGACCGGCTGTTGATGGACAAGCACTACGGTTACTTCGATCGGATGCTCACGCTGTTCTGGTACCTGAACACCGTGCCCGAGGGCGGCGAGACCAACTTTCCGGTCGCCGACGGGGCCCCGTGGCCCAAGTCCATGGCCAGTTGCAGTCAGGGCTTGATCGTCAAAGCCGAGCAGGGGGCCGCTGTACTTTGGTACAACATGGACGCGACGGGGATCGTCTCCAAGCACGCCCTTCACGCGGGTTGCAAGGTTTGCTGCTGATATCTTTTTTATTGACGCAGCAGCTCCTGCAAGAGCGCAGCGATAGTAGAAAGATGAATACATTGACCGGATGAACTCCTTTGATAATTACTGCATATGAACAAGAATATTGTTATCTTGAAGCATCCCAGCAGTGCATTGCACAGCCACACGATGATATTGATGAAAACGGAGTTTTAATACTACTCTGCTTAAAGGCGGCTGTCTTTGCGTAAAGAAAGAACGCCTGCTCCGAGAGCTTTTGTCGGCAACATGCATATGCGCGGTTAGGGCGCTTGCACTCTGTGGAAAACTGATGTGGTCTATGTGTAAATATGCAGGTACTAAAGGGAACCAAGTACGCGATCAATGCGTGGATTCACAATAAGCCACGGAGCACACCGATAGCAAAGTGGGATCCGAAGCATCCCCGGATGGCCGCACTGGGTCGTGGCGAGGGGAAGGACGACGCGCCCGACGACGGTACGCGGCACCTGACCGTCAACACAGATACGCCGATCAAAGTGTTCTGGAAAAACGAAGCGACCAAGGAGGAGGTGTTCATGCTAGACTTTCCAACCATCCCGACGGGAAAACAAGAGCATGAACGCATCGCCACACAGGGACTGAATACGCACCGCACGCACGTGTTCGTCGCGCGGGATCGCGCAACCAACGAGATCCTGAGCGAGTACCGGGTTTCCAACAAGCATCGGGCAAAAAACCTCCGCTGGGACATCTTAACAAGTAAACAAAAGTCAACACGCGATAAAAAAGAAGGTAAGGACGAACTGTAGAACTCTTTCGTGTCACTTTAGCCACGACAGGGATCGTGGAGTGCCTTGTTTGTTCACAGCGACATGCATTATAGCAGCCTGGGTCAAGAAAGCAAAATTCTCACCCGCGGCCGGGATTGAAGGCAATGATAGACGACACAAAGGGCAAGGATCCGCGCTGAACTACAAGCGGGCATGGCTTAAAAGAAATTGCGACAGAGATGAGCATACCTAGTATCCGGATTATTTGCGCGTATGAACAGCTCAAAAACGAGGCCGCACCCGGTCAGCAAATTTGTATGATTTCGGTAACATGCGGTAACAATCTCTCTGGCGGATGCTGCCGTGGAAGCGTGTTCATGCACATCGAGACTTGAATGTGATTATGATTTATCAACAGTGCTGTCAGGTGGCACGAGTTCCAAGCGAAGCGCTAGAAAAGCTCTCACCACTACTTCGATGAGGTATTCTACAGATCTGCAAAATGAAATTGCGACGATTGAGTTCTTCAATTTTCCTGGTAAACTCTTGATTTGGTACGAGATCCCTCTGGTGTGGCACCATAGAAGCCATAGTCATAAGCGATTCCTTGACGACGTCTCCATCGTATCGATCATTCGACAACGTCTCCATTATCGAATGCCCAGTCAGCTCCAATTTTTTTGTGAAAATTAGGCACTGGTTTTAGTTCTTGAAGTCATTCTTTGTGCACTGATTTTATTTTGGTATTACGACAACTGTCCTGCGAATCTACGTCTAGTCTACGACAAGTTTCACAACCTTTTTGAGAGCTTTCTTTGAAAGACAAAAAGATGATGAAGTCTGTTCTTCGTACCGCGGCCTTTACTGCTGCCGCTGCTTCTGTCGCTGCAGCCGAGAAGAAATCAAAGGCCGAACCCCTCCTTACTGCATCCGGCACTTACGACTTCGTCTCGAACTCGGTATAAATATAGCAAAAAGCTGCATTCATGGGGGATCACGATTATTTTTTTTTTGTAGTGCGGCTCCGTTTACCATGTCCTGCGCATGAGATGCTGCTGTCCCCTTTCATCCAGCAGATTTGTTGTGAGTCCTCCCTCGAAGGAGCTGAGCTGCTTAGTCAACATGTCAAGCCGAAGTCAACATTTTTTTACAGAAAAGAGCTTCTTTTGTCGCAGAATTTTTGCACGGGATGTTGTTATAATTTTTTTTCGGCAGGTACTGATGACCAAGGACTTGTTGTTTTTCACGGCGGAAACGGGCACCACGCTGGCTTTCTCCAAGCTCCCGCCGAACGTGAAAGATCAGGTGCTCGAGAAATATGATTTGGCAGTGGAAAAGATGGATCTCGTGAAGGGCGAGGCGGAGTCCTTCCGATTGAAGAATGGAATTCCCCCCCTGTCGGAGATGGTATCCGTCACCCAGTATCAAAATGAAAAATCCCCCCTCCCCATATCAAAACGGAAATTTGTGATGCTGATTTGTGACCACAAATCAGCTTTGTATTGCAGAGAGGCACTGCGGCCAGATCCCCGGGCTAGGTAGGGGCGTATGGGTCTAGTAGTTCAGCATGGCAAACGGCCCCCCTTTAGGCCCAACAGCATGACAAACCGCTTCCATAATGGGGCGGAAGCTTCTGCCCTTGTCTTCTTGCAAGACAGACGTGATTTGTGACCTCAAATCCGCAATACAAATACTTGGAAGCATACCTTTTCAATATGGGGGGGGGGGATTTTTCCTGTCAATACCCAGGCGAAGCTCAAGCCCGTGGTCGCCCTCGTGGAGTCCTCCCAGCCCTTCCGCCTGGTGCAGCAATTTCTCGATGCGTTCGAGAAGCATTATCCCCAGTACGCGGGCAAGCTCTCCGGCATCGGGTTTTTGGACCTCCTCCTGGTTTCCCTCTTCCTCTGCTACTTCGTCTTCGGCTACATGCTCAAGATGTTCTGCTTCGGTACTCCATCTTAATATATTGTTTTCTGATTTATACCTTTTTGTTTTTTTTCCTACTACAGTACCGAAGAAGCTTGCGCCATATTGTTTTTTTTCCTATGCTAGCAACTTACGTTGCGACTACGTACTTCGGTAAATTTTACTACACATTTCACCGCTTTTTTTACAGTGTGCTGCTGCGGGTGCTGCGCTAAGCGGGCGAAGAAGCAGGTGCCGGTGGAGTTGCGCAAAAACAAAGCCCCAGTGGCGGCTGACAAGAAGAAGAAGTAAATCAGGCGATGTGCGGAAGGTTTTTTTTGAATGCGCGAGCAGCAGAAAATAGAAAATCAAGGTCGTCGTGGTCTCACCCCTCTTTCGTCGAGCATTTCCAAAACGACGAGGAAAGAAGAGCTCTCTCTCACTTTCAAAATGTTACATGTCACGGAGTCTACTTATCAAACCATCAAACAACGTCTGTACACTAGGAGTCTTTTGAGTCTTATGTATCAAGGGTACGCTATCGATATGTAGCTATTTTTGTAGCAGCTACATTTTACCGCTGGCTTTGGCCATGAGATAGAGGGCAGAATGAATAGCAGGTGGCCATCGCAAAATTCAGGATGTCGATGATGATTCACAGCACTTCTACCAGACACTATTCGAAGTGATGCGGCGGAATGAGGCTGCACGTCGATGCGCTTGCGAAGCGCATCATCAGGAACAGGGGTAGCAGTGGTAGGGACTGCTTCGCCCTCTCGAATAGCGTCTCGCTTCCGCTTACTCTGTTGCGCCCCCTGCTTACGCTTGCCCAAAAAGACTGGAGAGTGTTTAGTCATCATGTCCTCCTGCGACGATCGAGCCGCTTGATCTCATGTTGCGCACTGGAGCTCTATACTTACCAACTGCACAAAGAAACTCTCAGATCTCGCCCGCACTTTGTTCGTTGCGGGCAGAAGCACCAACCCGTGCTTAGGCTATCAACTGAGTCGCCAACGTGTTCTTACTCTATGTTTTTAGTGCGGTAACAGATCAGATACAGATTCTTTCAGAAAGATCACTCGTGATTCAATGTTGAGGTACCTACTTATTCCATCAATTTGCCATGTTCTGTTTCTTGACCTTCACGCACAGAAAAGCACCGCTTTTCACATCGGTCAATACGGTCGTGAAATACAAGCGAGTCAGAGCACGACACCACCACGAGGAGAAACCGCAACTCGTTGCGTTTGATTTCGCGAAAACGGTTTTGAGATTGCAAACAAGACGGATATTGACAGTGTTTCAAATCAACAGTTCCTCTCAACCTTTTGGCTTCGCACCCAAGATACACTCTTTACTATCTATTATCAATCTCTTTTACGAACACGGCACCTATTCGCATTCGCGCACATTGGCGTCATAGTGGACAGTCCTAGATGTTGCGTTTTTGTGATGTACAAATAACACAGGCTTGTCCTGATTGCCGCGTCTCCGGACATGGTTGAGGATTTGTGATTTATATATCGCACTAGACGCAGGAGCAAAACGAAAACTTCGTTACTTGCGCGACAACTACTTCGTAATTTCTCGACAGTCTTTCGCTTTCCTGAGAGGGTGGCTTTACTCTCGATCTCGTCTCGCCAAGCAAAAAGATAGTGGAACCAGAAAACATCGATCCGAACTCGAAAAACGGTCTCGTAATTATGCTATGATTTTTATTTATGCCTTTAGTTTTCGCAGCCATTCCTCAGGATGATGTTATACTACTTTCAGGAGCAAAAATGGGTATGCAAATAGGCAAGACGAACAAAAAAGCGCAAGCCGTTATCAACCACCTCACAGTGTTTGTCTTGGAGATGTTATATTCTGTTTGAAGCTAGTGCGATGAATAGCGATTTTTTTGGGTTTTGCTTACTTCTGTGGAAAAACTGTACATAGTCATACATTGTGGCACAGGGAGCAGCAATGATGTAGCGTTTTTTCTCTCAGTTGCCACTTTGATGACCGTGTTTGACTCGTGACCTGGTCGTTGGGATATTCCCGGGTCCGCCTGCTACTCCCTGTAAGTAAATTGGAAGATTTAAAAATGTTGTAAAGATAACGAGTCTTCTTGTTGTATTTGTAGACGAGCACTCGTGCTGGCACGGTCACGGTAAAGGACATGACTATGAACAAGAAGCAGGAGCCGCCTGCTCATCTTCATCATCGACCTATTCAAGGTGCTTCCAGAAGACCCTCCGGCATCCTTGTCATTGTCATCGTTTGATCTTCACATTTTGACTTTACTGCGACCTCCCCATGGTCAACGCACCTGTTTCGCTCGTCGACACGGCGATCGGCTGACATCGCGGAGAACAACTGGAAACAAGGTTTATTCACTCCGAAGTTTGCTAATATTGTCGAGCGGCAGTTCTTCACCACAATAAGTTCCTGCTCTTTTTGCAGTTGTATCAGCAGAAGCAGGGTGGACACAGCACAACTCTGTTCGAAACCAGCTGTACGCGGCAGCTCATACCAGGAAAACAAGACGTGCTTTGCCTGAGGTTGGCACGTCGAAATGTGGCGGAACAAGGAGGATAGCGAGTCGGACTGTGCCAGCGACGGTGGCAGCTATGTGTATGAGTCCGGGGATTCAGACGATGACGCGATGGGACAGCCGCCGAGGTCGTCCGGCGTCGCCCCAGCTTCCTCGTCCACTGGCGGCACTACCGGAAAGGCTTCGGCCGCGGTGCTGCAGCTCAACAAGGCTTCGGGAAGTGGGGCGCCGACGAGCAGCTCGGCGAACATTACTAGCGCGTCAAAAACAGGAAAGCGGGTGGTCGGAGAGCAGGGCAACGATGTAATTTTTTCGCCGAACAAGCGGTCTCTCGACGGGGAGAGCGACGTTGAGATGACACAGGATACCGATGACGAAGCAAGCAGCTACCAGCATCCGAAAAAACGGCGGGCCGCGTTTCGCTCCCTCGCTTTTCCAGTAGAGGTAGAGGAGGAAATGGCGGCATCGGTAGATCAGGTAGCACTGACCGAATTTTTTCATAAAGAACCTTCGTGTTGTAAGTACTTATTTTCATGTCTGGTGTAGAAGTACCTCTCCTGGTCGTAGACTTCGCTGAATTTTTGACTATAGTACAGCACGGACGAGATTTTGTTGAATTACCCTTCATTTTTGTTCGATTCGTGGATCGTCCCCACGTTGTCGACCTATCGTTCTCACTGTCTTCGCTTTTCTAGGTGTGTGAGCTGACCGCCCTGGAGGGTGCAGACGCGAAGCTCGTGTTGAAAGAGTACAAGTGGGACGTGCAGCAGCTCACGGAGGCCTGGTTCGCGAACCCGGAAAAAATTTGCCAGAAGGTGGGTCTTTCAGTACCGGCACTGGGAATTTCGGCCCTGCCAAGGACCAGCGATCTGCCGCGGGGTGGAGCCGCGTCGTCCTCTTCCTCGGCCTCCTCGTCCAGCAGCGCCGCGGGTGGCGAGCTGCATTGTTCGGTGTGCTATGAGTCATTCCCGGCCTCGTCGCGCATCTACGGGCTCCAGGACTTGCCGGACATGATTCTCAAGACGCCACGGCCTGCGAACATGCTTCCGGAGACAGTAACCGCGCGGGCGGCGGACACGTCTACGGTTGCGCCCACGGAGACGCTTTTACCGCCGCTGGTGGAGCAGGACCCCGACACGGTCCTCCGGGCTGGCGGGGAACTACGAGGAATAAACACCGGGACGACCAGCGGCGCGGGGAGTAGTAGTTCCTTGGCGGTGCAAAGCTTGGCGAATCGGACCACGGCGTTGTCTCTGGAACAAGATTCACTGTTCGCGCTGCCCTGCGGACACAACTTCTGCACTTCCTGCTGGCGGCAGCACTTAGAGTGCGCGGTGGGCGACGGGGCAAGCTATCTCACGGTTCGCTGTATGGAGCCCAAGTGCCCGGAACGTGTCCGCTGGAACATGATACCTGCTCTGGCTCCAAGTGTCGAGACCAAAGCAGCGGAATTCGAGGCGAAAGAGTACTTAGCACTGCTGCAACCAGATCTTTACCGTTTCGTTTCTGCCGACTTTTGAATGCAATGCCCCAAAAAGTAGAAGTTGTTCTTATTGGCCATAAGTAACTGCAGTACACAGGAGACCGAGCAGTGCTTTCTCGCGTCATGAATCTATAGAAATGAAACGGCTAGAAGTTGGTTCCGTGGATCGTGATTGAGATCATGATGCACAGATTTTCATCGTTCGAAAAGGTATCAAGAAAAAAATATTGCAGCTTCGTGGACATGCAGCAGCGTTGCAAGTGGTGTCCCAGCCCAGACTGCGCTAACTGCATCTTGGTAAACGAACCCTGCCGCACGATGGAAAACGCGCGAGACATGGCATGGTTAAAGTCTTCGAAGCGGCCCGCCGCAGAGACCACCAGCGCACAAAAGACAAACGACGACGATGCGGGAGAGGAGGATGGGGGCCAAAACCAGCGGAAGAAACGCGGGAAGACCGGCGCCAATGCTGGTCGAGCAACCGGGCAGCCAGCTGCCATGGCGCCACAGCGTGACGGAGTGTTGCCCGCCGTAGCACCACCAGGGTTCGGCCTCGACGGCGGTGGCGCCGGCCCGCGCCCCGTAGCGGAGAGGCTAGCGGCTGCCCAGGCTTGGTACAACGAGGCAGCTGCAGGAGTGCGACGACGCATGAGAGTATTGTTTACTGTGGCATCGTTGCTGTATTGATGTTTTTTACAACTTGTAGCGACGAAACACAAGAAAAGAAATATAGAAGAAGCAGCTTTAAGATTCTACGGCCTAAATCCATCGCAATGTCGCCTGGTGGCGCCGGTCTCTTAGGAGTAGAAAAATTAGTTGTCGAGCACGAAGAAGCGGAATGTGTGTGAGATGAGGGCAGACTCTATTCGCCGACAGGACTAGAAGTTGATATGACACCTGGCAGCTTCTTCCAAACTAATAGGTGGTGCGCAATGCGGAGCCCGAGCCCCCTGCTCCCCCACCCGACATCCGGGAAGACGCCTTGCTCGCGAATTTCAACGCCACCGCCGGGACCAGCAGTAGTTCGGGTGCCACATCATCCGCCGCACCGGGAAGAGACTCGATGTTCCCCGCGTCAGCGCAACCGCTGCAGTGCCGCGAAGTGGAGTGCGAATCGTGCGAGTACAAGTGGTGTTTCACCTGCAACCACGAGGCGCACGCTGGTGTTTACTGCCACGTTGTCGCTAAATGGCTCGAAAAGAATCAAGATGAAGCACAGAATGTGACCTGGATCTTGGCGAACACCAAATCCTGCCCAAAGTGCAAAAACCCAATCGAGAAAAACCAAGGTACAACCACATGGATCTGTTTTTTTTTATGTCGGCCACACGTAGCAGGAGCGTCTTCTTTCGCGCATGTCGTGCCTATAGGAAGTGACACTTTTCAACCGGAACTGGAGCATAAAGGAAGGACGTTCACCTGGACGAAAAAGATCTTTTTGGGACTCATGTTGTTCCGCAGGGTACCACGAGATGAAGCATGCAAGTTAACTTTTACGGAGGAGTGTAGCACTTAAAATAATAGAATGAAGCATATAAAGTTAAAGATTATTTCTGCCTGCGCGATTATGTTTTACAGGGTGCATGCACATCGTCTGTCGCTGTGGACACCAGTTTTGCTGGCTTTGCCTTGCGGATGATTACAACTACTCTCACACTCGGGATGGACGCCCCTGCAACAAGTTCATGCAGCCAGATGAGGAGAAGGAGATCAGCAAAAAAAATCTTGCCAGGTAGGGAACAAACTTGCTTCTCGTCAAGTGAGCATGCGGATCTTCTTTGCAAGCTAGAATTTTTGTCTCCCCGCTTCAGCAAGCGATAACCGCCTGCGACCAGATAATTTTTGCCGTTCGGACTCCGTTTTCGTACCATTCCAACTTGCATCTTCTTTACAGGTATGCACACTTCTACGAACGATACGCTGCGCATTCGCAATCACAGACTATCGCTTCCAAGAAGACTCGGGAGGAGGTGCGACGCAAAATGGAGGATCTACAGCGGCGGTTCGGGAATTGGGACGATGTCTTGTTCCTAGAGGAGGCTATAAAACAGGTAAGAAATACTGAAGAAATATCATGAATGCACCGAGTAGTAGAACATCGCATGTAGTGATGGATGCGCTAGAGTCCACCGTGCTGCGTACCGATTGATTTTGACGAGCGCAAAATGGAAATTAAGACTAAGTGCGTTGTGCTGCTAGGAAGATGTTGGGGTGTGGGCACTTACTTCCGATTATCCACTTTACACGTTCATCAGGTAATTGATTGCCGGCGCATGCTTATCCAAGAAAAAAAAATGTGTAACTGTATACTTTTTTGGCGGAGCAGCATAGTTATGTCTGGCATGAGGATGAAAGAAAACCCTGTCATGCGCAGATCGATGGTACTACTTGAAGATGCGTGTGAATGGGTCCTGCAAGTGCAATGCATGAGCAGCATGACAGACGCACCCATCGTCCATGTTACGCCGTTCCACGAAGTTACAGTATAGGAATCCCATTTCTTGCATAATGCTCAAGTGGACCTATGCAGTGGCGTATTACCTGGGAGGCTCAAACCAGTTTTTCGAGTTCCAGCAGGGGCAGCTCGAGCAGAAGGTAGACCAGCTGCAGTCGCTGTTCGAAAGCAATCCGTTCATCAAGTCCGACCTGCGCGGCACTGCAGGCGTCGCCGCAAATGCGGGAACAAGCGCGTCCGCCGCGCGCGGGGCGGGAAGGTCATCCGCGTCCGTGGCAGCGGCTGGCGTCTCCTCTTCGGCAGGGAGCGGAGCAGCCGCCGCTTCCGCTTCTACCGCTAGTAGCTCAGGGGCCTCCCGGGACGACTTTCTGAAGTTCAAAGCCGAATTGACCAACGTGACGAAAGTGGTTGAAAGCTTTTTCAAAAACATCATGCAGTACTTCGGAGAGCTGCGGCCGGAGCAGTTCACACTGTTGAACTGAGGGAAAGGTACTGTGACCGCCATAGCTTCAAGCTGCATCTAAGTAATCAATTTGTTACACCCGTGATTACGTCGCGCTTTCAACAAGAAGAAGAACGACCTTTGCGGTGCTTGAGGCTCTTGAGCCGCGTTTTGGCTTTGGGCACGTGTTTTTTCCCTTTCTCTCCCCACAAATGGGTCTTCGCAGAGCTACTTGCTCCGCCCTGGACGACCGGTCTACCCAACCAAAATGCTAATTCCTGAAACACAACGCATCTCTGTGTTATCAACTCCCCAAATTTCGTGACCCCGTCGGCGACTCCCTTTGGACGCTCCATGCGAGTGGCTTGTGCGACCTCTTTTTCTCCAAGCAAGAATGAACGCAAGTACTTCGAGCTTTGTTTGAAACAAAGAACGCCAGTAAGAGCGCGCACCAAAAGAGATGACGTCGATCGCGCAGCCTCTAGCATTGAGAAGCGGCGTTGCGAGCAGTACAAATTTGCGTGTTCGTTATGGGGACCACAGCATCTTCCGGTCTGATATTGATCTACCTATTTCCTCCACCTGTCGTTGATCCTCTTGATATTGATTTGTGACTTTTTTGCCGGGTGTCTCTTGCAAACTCGGCTTCAAATATAAGCGCAAACACAGCAAGGCTCTGGACAGCGGACTACATATATCATGCTTATACTTTCATACTAGGTCATAGTCATAGGAACGAGCCAGAAGATGCAGTAAAGAAATCGTGAAGATTGATTCTGTGAGAAGCAGGTCTATTTCCTTCTTCATCTTCTGTGTCGAACTTTTTCCAGGTTTTGTTCTTTTTGGGAATAAATAGAAAGGAGAAATAGAATTGGCGGCAATAAACTTTCATGTTGAAGACGAGCAGGATCAGACACAATTAAACTTCTTTCTTCAGTATGGCGGAAATCGATCGGGCAATTCTGCCCGACGATGCCGTGCCTATTTTGTACGAACTGGAGCTGCGACCGGACTTGGACCGCTGCGTATTCTCCGGCAAGCTGGAAGTGACCTACGACGTGGAGGTTGCGACCTCAGAGCTGTACCTGAATGCTAAGGAGCTCTGCTTCAGTGATGCCTTTTTCACGCCCGCGGCAACGGGAGAAAAACTGGCGGCCGAGAGCATCACCTTCAAGCCAAAAGAAACGACCGTCGTAATTTCTTTTGGGGACCACGTTCTTCCGGTCGGCGAAGCCGTCGGGAAGCTGTGCATCCCAAAGTTCGATGGTACGTTATAGTTCCTACTTTTTGCTTTCTTGGAATGCGAATGTAATGGGAGATGCAGCGTGAAAGCGCGTCGTATCTTTTGAAATATCAACATGATGATCCGAGCGCGTAATATTTCGACTGCCTGACTACAGTTCGTTCTTGCTATGGTATGGCTAGACGCAGGTTGCCAGCACGTGGTGACGTACGTAGTGAGTTGGCGACAAATCTTCATTTGATTTGTTATTCTAGGTATTTTGAATGACCAGATGTGCGGGTTTTACCAATCAAATTATGTGGACACGCTTGGACAGAAACGGCGTTTGGCGGTAACGCAGTTCGAGGCCATCGACGCGCGCCGCTGCTTTCCCTGCGTGGATGAGCCAGCACGAAAAGCGAATTGTGTAGATGCAAACGGGGGCGAAATCTGGGCTGCCACTCGAGATGTGCAGCTGCTACTGAACAAACAGATCATGATAGTGAAGACACGACCGAAGAAACGAATATAAAGATTATCATTATGTCATTAATGACGCGGACATGCATTATACTTTTGCTATCAACATCAATTTGTCTTTCTCGCGCGTCTTCGTCTTTCGCACTTCTTGACTAGCACTGAACAAGTACTTTTTTCCTCAGACCACCCTTGGATCTTTTGAGGCGCATTTTTCGGTGAACTTCTACAGAGGAGCAGGAGACTACCGGTATAAGAGAAAGTAGCAGCCACTGGCGTTGCCCCCGACACAAGGCTTTGTAGGACTACGCCGCCTCCTCTTTCACCCCACCCGTTTGCCTCTGCATAGCGTGTTCGACGTGACCATGGTTGTGGACAAGAAGTTCCAGGCGTTCTCCAATATGCCGGAGGTGTCAAAAATCAGTAACGAGGCGGACAACACTGTCACGTTCAAGTTCGGCACCTCACCCAAGATGAGCACGTACTTGCTGGCGTTCCTGGTCGGGGAACTGGACTACCTGACGCAAGAAACCGCGGGCGTGCACGGGCCCAAGACGACGGTGCGGTGCATGTCGGTGCCGGGCAAGGCGGAGCAGCTGTCGTTCTCGCTGGAGGTGGCCACCCGGTGTCTGGAATTCTACAACGAGTTTTTCCAGATCGCCTACCCGCTCCCCAAATGCGACATGGCCGCCATCCCCGACTTCGCCGCGGGCGCGATGGAGAACTGGGGCTTCGTCACCTACCGCGAGATTGATTTGCTACTGGACGTTTCCAAAACCTCCACCGCGCGAAAGCAGCGAGTGGCCAGCGTGGTGACCCACGAGCTGGCGCACCAGTGGTTCGGATATTCCACAGAAAAAAGCTGGCAGGTCACATTTGTAATGCAAAAATAAATACACAAAAAAAACTGTATTGCGTATCCTAAGCAGCATGCTATGAGGCCGCCCATGACAGATCTTTCTGTGTATTTATTTTTGCATTACAAAATATGCCCTGCCAACTTTTTTCTGTGGGATATCGGAAACCTGGTGACCATGGAGTGGTGGAATGATTTGTGGCTGAACGAGGGCTTTGCGAACTTTATGCAGACCTTCTCCGCGGATGCGTTGTTCCCCGAGTGGCGGATCTGGGAAAGTTTCGTGTGCGACGACCAGGCGGCGGCGCTGCGATTGGACTCTTTGCGGTCGTCGCACCCGATCCAGGTGCCCATCCCGAAGGCCGAACAGGTGGACGAGATCTTCGATGCGATCAGCTACTGCAAGGGCGGGAGCGTGTGCCGGATGATCTTCGCCACGCTGGGGAAGGAGAAGTTTCAGGAGGGGCTGCGCTTGTACATGGAGCGGCACAAGTATGGCAACACGCAAACCTTTGACCTCTGGAAGGCCTGGGAGGAGGTCAGCGGCAAGCCGGTGGCGGAGATCATGAAGGGCTGGACCGAGCAAATGGGGTAAAAAAAGTACCTCAATAGAGTACGTAGACAAGTGCATTTTCTATTTTAGTGTGGCGCAGCGGTCGGTATCAGGTGCCAAGGGCATTCTGGCACGAGAATGTAGGTATGTGCTTTCGGAGCAGCCCCCTTGCTGGCGCAGTTACTATCTAAAACCTCCTTCATTACTTCAGAAATTTTGAATCCGCTAAAGAACGAAAAAAATGCATCCATTCCTCGTGCTGCAGGTTCCCGGTTCTCACCGTTTCTCGGCCTGACGCAACCACGCTCCAGCTGAGCCAGCGGTGGTACTTGGCTGATAACTCGGTCCAGGAAGGAGATGACGAGAAGATCTGGACCGTGCCAATACTTCTCGCAACGAACAACGGCTACCAGGAGGAGATCCAGTTTCTTAACGAGATATCCTGTGTAGAAACGTCCCCGCCCGCCCAGAGTTATCATGCCAATCTGCGTGCCTGAAATGTTTCCCCTGCGCAGCCACGTGAGTGCCCATTTTCTAATGCTATCTTGGAACTCGAACTTGTCATGCTCGAGCTCTACTAGAGATCACATGATTACGAAAGTCGATTCGTGACCCGGCTGCACTAGCCAAACACGACGTGTCTTTCCTGGCAGCCTGTGTACTACTTCTCATGTGTGTGTCACGCGCGACAGCCAAAACTTGCTGATTTGTGTAGCAGATTCCCCATCGTGACTACTGGGTGTCGTGGGCCCTGTGTTTACGCAGGATACGAGAAGCAGCAGACTTTCAAGCTCCCGCAGGGCAGTCGGTGGGTAAAGGTGAATGCGGGGCAATTTGTGCCCGTGCGTGTGCTCTACGAGGGAACTGCACTGTTGGAGGATTTGGCAAAAGCGGTCGCATCAAAGGAACTTTGCGCCGAGGACCGGTACTTTTGCTAGCAGTCCATTTTGCTTACTCATTCCTGAAGCAACGACGATACAGAGCATCATTGCATGAAACTCAGAAGCAGCAAAATAAGAGGAGTGCATTTTACACTCGTACATCTATGGACACAGCACTAATTTAAAAGTCATGCGGTACTTAATATTCTGTGACGAGTGCAATCGGCATTGTCATGAGGGTCGAATCCACAAACATTGCTAATTCAGGATCGGAGTACTGCAGGACACCATGGAACTCTGCCGGTCGGGACACCTGGAAGATCCAACCGCGCTTTTTTTTCTGCTGCGTGGGTTTGCCCAGGAGGACAACAGCAACGTGTGGTGTGCTTTGAAAGCCGCGATCGACGGTTTGGACCGCGTGCTGCCAGAAATGGGATCAAGTGTTTACACCAAGTTCCAAGAATTCGTCAGCGACCTCATTCAGAGACCCTGCGCTGAGCTTGGTTGGGACCACAAAGAAGCCGATGACGATCTGACAAAGCAACTCCGAGGGGTCTTGATCGGACTCATGTCCACGTATACTATTTCATTTTAGAGTCTGGTCGTTTTTTTAGTCGTTTCGGTTTGTGCGAGGCGTGCGGCTTTTTTGCTACATGGATTTCTCTTTGTTTCGAGGAATAGTTTATTACTTTATGACGAGAAAATCAATGCGAAAAAGCCTCGCGTAGACAAAAAAAGCAAAATGGAATTACACCTTCCGAAAGAAGTAGAACTACATGAAGGTTTGCGCCTTCGGATCCGGCGGTGCAAGCGGAGGCGGCACGAAGGTACGAGGCATTCGTTCAGGATCGCAAGACTGGGCTTCTGCCAGACGATTACAAGCGCAGCGTGTTTACCGTCATGCTGCAAAACAAAGAGCGATGCGTCGAGGTATGGGAGCAGCTTGTGCAGATCATGAAGGACCCGCAAACGCAACAAGCGCATCGGCTCGCAATCTACGCCGCCCTCGGTTACGTGGAAAACGTGGAGTACAAGAGAAAGACGTTGCAGGAAACCTATGATATCAAGATCCAGGACTTCTTCTATCCGATGACCGGCGTCTCAGGGTCGGGCAAGCCTGGAAATGTGCTCATCTTTGATTGGATGCGAGAAAATTACGACACGATCAAAAAAAGAATCGCGAGCGCAAACAGTACTTTTTATGCTCTATTTGTGTTTTGCTGCATGACCTCTTGTTTGAGGTCCACAGTTGTTATGTCAGGGTTACGCACATGTTCTTGTTCTTCATTTTTTTTCTGCGGTGTCACGCCAAGTGCTCCTTATGCTAGCTACAAGTGAGGATTCGCAAACCATCAGGTTCGCTTCTGCAGCACGTGGTGTCTGTGTCCTGCAGTGGTAGCACATTTGAGCGCGCCGAGCAAACGGAGGCCTTCTTCAAGGATCGGGACGAGCCCTCTATCCAGCGCACGCTGAAACAAGTATGCGAGCGGACCAGAGTCAACGCTCGGTTCGTGGAATATTTGAAAAAGTCGGAGCTTGCGACTCCGGAATTTTGGGCCAAGCTTAAGTTTGAGCGGGTTGCTGCGTGATCAACCGGCAAAAAGGACCTGCTGCAGCAGCTAATGGATCTGAACTTTCTTTGATACATGATCGATGTTTGGATGAACACTTCTGTCCCCGCGCATAAGAATGTACTTTACCTTTGACCTCTAAGTCCGTCGTCAGAGGAGCAACGCTATTTTTTGCGCAGTTTTTGGTATCAGAGTGTCTTGACGACTTGCTGCAGCTGCACGCGTGACTACTGGTTGTGTGCATGCATGGGACCTCAGAGGAACAATGCTTCTTTTGGGGTACTTGCTGTCACATGGTACATAGTTTTTGAAAAGAGATCTTTTCGTTATTCCACTTGCACACACGGACACGACTTGGCACTGAGCACAGATGGCACGGATAGCATGCAAATTTTTGAAAGATGAAAAACAGAATGAGACGGCGATCGAGTTTCGTTTTCAAGACGAAATTCGTACGAATGATCGAAATAGGATTGATTGTCGGCAATCGCGAGGGCGATTTCTTGCGACTATCGCTATCGCTTGACTGTACAGGTTTCCCGCTGGACGTGTGGTCGCATAATACGACCCGTCAAAAGATTCTCTCCCTGTTCCTGACACGACAAAGAAAAGCAAACGCAAACCTCAGCGATCTTTGGCCCATTTAGTCGGAATCAATTAAGCTCCTCGATGTTGACGAGGCAAGCACGCGAAGGGCGTCGGCTGTGTCCCGTGAGCGTCCAGCTCTGCAATATCTTTTACGGAAGAAGAAGTGTAAGTGTTAATTCATAGTAAGTGCGTAGACGAACCTTGAGAGAGCATGTGCATGTTAGTTTCATTGGGCATACATAATTGAGGCAATCTTCTTCTCCCCTCCTCGTCAAAGATTAAAAGTTCCTCAAAGACTGCTGTATTTCCTCTGCTCAACAAAATCATAAAATTATACGGGTACCTGTATTTAGCTCCGCTTCGCTCAACAGTACATGTTTACGCGATAGATCTCATGGATGGCTAGCCTGGGCGCTCCTGCGGTAGCAAACCCGAACGTCCCCGGTGGCGGCGGTGCCTCCTCTGCAAGCTCGAGCAGCAGTGGTCTCAACATGGAGCGCCGCGGCCGAATCGACTACACGCGGCGGATGGAGGTTGACCAAAAGGCCATGCTGATCGGGGCCCGGTCCAAGCGGGGTCCGCTCAACGTGATGGAGGGCATGAATGGCTCCTCTTCCTCGTCCTCGCAGCAGCCGGGTGGTCAGGGTGCCATGGCCGGGGGAAATCAGATACTCCAGGAGGAAAACGACGAATACATCTCCTCGCTGCTGGGGAAGGTGTCCAGTTTGAAAAACGTGGCTCAGGGAATTGGACAGGACGTGGCGGCCGGCAATCGCATTCTGGATGGACTTTCGGAGGATTTTGAACGCGCAGGGGGCGGCCTGAAGGGCACCATAGCCTCCCTGAACGGGATGATGAAGCGCGGCGCAGGAAATCATATGTGCCACATGCTCCTCTTCGTGTTGTTCATCTTTTTCCTCATGTGGTGGTTCATGTGACCAACAGGATCGATGTACTTGCTTCACCCGAACTGCGGTTGTCTGCATTTCCTACTCCCAAAAACCCGGAACACCCCCAACGATAGCGACAACCTTGATTTCTGACTACAATTTTTCACGCGCGACGCTCGTACAAGGCACTTCCCCACTAGCTCTGCTGACTGAGTTTACGGAAGACGCTGACTCGGAATGGACCGCGGCGACAGCGGCAAGACGATCAACTGTTCTTGTAAGTAGGGCAATGGGGAGATCGTGGTGGTGTTGATTTTGCTGGAAGCTGCATTGGCGAGGGAGTTTTTGAGTCTGGAGTAGTGAAAAAGAGCGACAAGCGTGTGTTGCCGAAGTAGCAACCTTCCTACAACCTGCGAGCACTGCTCGCGGCGCAGACGTGTTTCTGTTTCGAACTGTATCTATTGTGAGGGCGAGAAGTGTGTTGCTGAGAGTGAGAGACACAGTCGAAGGGCCAATCGTTGTGGTCAGAGCAAATCCATTGTTCTCGTTGCAGAACAGCCGAAAGTGTGCCACACCCTCAAAAAAAGCATGCCGCTCCGTTTCTTTTACTGATTACCCGCCGAGCCAGTTTCCTTCGGACCTCGCCGCCCGGTAGAAGTGCATGACTGATGTGCCGGAAGCATCACCGACGGGAAAGCGTCGAAGCAGCCCGCCGGAGAATCATCTTTCGAAAGTCCTTAGCGATGGTGGGAGTTCTGAAGCGGTACCTGATGCCAAGCGGTTGCGACGGGACGCAGGGCAAAAACCATGGATGGAGCCCCTAAGTTCTGCGGAGGAGTGCGAGCTGACTCGTTTTTTGTCAACGGAGTATCAACCGTCGCCAGGGAGCCCGCGCCGAGTGATCCACTTCTGCGAAATAGGGACGAGCAACTACAACACCATCAGCCACGCGGTGTTTCCGTTGGCAGACGGGTCCTTTTCTTCGTGCAGCACTTTATGCAAGGATAAGGAAAAAGTTTTACGGTGACACACTTGCTGCAGCTTCAGCAACACAGTGAGTGCTGTCCTGCATGACAAAGAAAACGCGTAATGCGGAAATCACGAAAAAAAGCTTTCACAGAACGAGCATCGCAAGCATTTTCGACATGACAAAGGTTTTATCTCTGTTGCTTGAGCTTGTCCCGCAACACAATGTGTAACTGTAAGACTTTTTCTCACGATAAGCTGGAAACTATCACTACTACAAAAAGTGGCACAGGTGGATGCGGGAGCCGGCTGAGAATATCTATGGGCTGGCGGTTGACGTGATCCCTTGGGTCCTGCAGGAACTACCGCAGCATAGCAACCTCAACCTGGCCAATGTGGCGATGGTTGGGGTTCCGCGGGGGCGGGACGTACACGAGGCGTCGCCGGCAGAGGAAGACCGGCGGGGAGAGCAGCCCGGCAGTCTGCCGACAGGCAAGACGGAAAAAGCGCCGCAGTGTTCGGCCACGGATCACGAAGCTTCGTATGTCGTGGCGTTGGAGAAATATTCCAAGCCCGCCACAGTTATCCTCTGCGGATCTGTCTGGGTCCAGATAGAGTGACGCTTTATGCAATATGAATCTTTTGCATGACAAACTCAGAAAAATGTATTAACGAATTCAAAATGCAGCACATGGCTCCACGTGGTAAAATGCATCCTATCCCAATTAATATGTGCGAAAAATGCCGAAGATCAGGCATAAAGATACGCTGTGTCCTGTTCTAGCTCTAGCTCTAACCATTAATTTAAATTCATGATGAGAGATTGAGCGCAGTGAGAAAAGCTAGCTGCGCCTGCGCCCACCGGTGTCTTTTCCTGCAGGGTTGCGCGAGGCTGGAGCCGCGGATCATGATCGGTCTGCTTCCCGTAGGCAAACGGCAGGTTTAGGCCGGCGCTTAAGGCGTTGGTGAAGACGTTCATCACCAGCAGACCACAAGAACGCAAAAGTTATGAAGTGCTCTGCTCGTTCCTTCTTCCTCCTAACCTTTTCTTTCTTCTTCCTCCTAACCTCCTCTTCTATTCTGCAAATCTGTCATGCTTATTTGCCTCTCTGCACACAACTGCCCTCTCCTTCTTCTCGCTCAAGCCCTAAATATCCACTTCCAGAATTGCACTCACGATAGCAAGTTCCAAAGCACGAAAATTCATGCTTTCAAACCAGGATCTATTTTTCCTAGCGTAGTATAATTTTTGCTTTAGGTATTCTTAGGTAGTTTACTTCAAATGCTTTTATTGTTGTAACTCTCTCAATAGAGATCCTTGCGGGGGGAATGACCACGCTTCGCATGATAATCCAGACCCGGATGGATTTGCAATGCATACCAGTCTACTTCGTACCAAAGGACAAGATTGTGGAACTGGAAAAGTCGTGGCGAACGGGCTGCGCGTGCTCTCTCCATCAGCGAGCGAAATGCTGGACCTGCTACCACACGGGACAGCTCGCAACCGCTTGCGCCAGCGTGAACCAGCGACCCAGCTTATCCCGTGTAAAAACGTAGCCACCCCAGAGTTGTCATGCAGATTTGCAATGACAGGAACACTTGTAATGCGCTTCCCCATGAAAGGCATTTCCAATCGTGTTTCGGCATTTGTAATGCTGTGACCAGGATGAGCAGATGGATTTCTGATGCAGCTGGCCTTGCGAACCTGCACTACACTACGGACTGCAACTTGTGATGCGTGACCCCCAAAAGTTCTAGGTTTATGTTGCAAAATCCCCATCTCGACTCTGGGGTGGGGACGTTTTTACACAGGATACAGCTACTTCTACGGGCGGTTGCAGCGACTCGGGATAGTGGACGCCGAGAGTTCTAAAACGGTCCCTGCGGTTAGCTACACGCAGTTGCTGGCAGTCTACAACGTTCAGCGCCCGGAGTTGCTCCAGTTAGACTGTGAGGGCCTGGACTTCGACATAATGAGGAGCGTGCGCCGGCACTGTTTAACATACGGCCCAGAAGCAAGGCCGAAACAGATAGTCTTCGAAGGGACGTCTGGAAGGCGCTACGTAGAGGAAGCGACGGAACTGATTCGCCAGTTTCTCCAGTTGGGCTACGTGCTAGAGTTCGATCCGTTCTACGACGGAGACGACGAAGTGGAGGACGAGGAAAAAACCGGCGTGCGGAACATCTCGCTGATTCTCGACGGGCTTACTGTGTCCCAGTAGACGCAGCGACTCCGAACTTGAGACTGCGAACTTGAGTCCTTGAGTTTGTCGCCACAAAAGGCGTGCTCTGTGAAAGATCATGCCCAAGTTCCTCTGTGAAAGATCATGCCCCGGCACAAGTTTCTTCGCTATACCTACCAGCGAGCTCATCCGTATTTCTTTCTTATCATGTCCCCATTCGCAAAAATGGGCTCCAGGCCGCACTCGCCTTGGTCAGTTCGATTTTCAGTTTTTACGATTAAGTAAGTACAGTCGAATGAGTACGCCGTGCTTACGCCATAAGCACGAAGCGAAGAGCATAAGAAGTGATGCGATCAATAAGGTGACCCGTAGCGCTGGCAACATCCGCCGGATATGTCTCCCATTTTTCGAAGTGTGTTTGATTATTCATGATCATCATGTTGGCCGGGCGTGTGGTAGCTGCTCTTCTTCAAAAGTGCGTGCCGCGCACATTGGTATCCACGGCACGACGATGCTTCGTGCCAGTTGCAGCTATTTTGTCGGTGTCGTTATTTCCTCCAGTACGAGCGACATTTCGCGATCTGTGCTTTTTGGCCATGACGGTCGAGCTCCATATAGCCTGTGCTCCTCCTCTTTGAAATCGAGAAAGTGACGCTGTGAGACCTAGAAATCAATGGACTCCGCTCGGGCAGGGTCGTTTAAGGTTTCCCGGGAAACCTTCGGCGTAGCTCGTGCCAAAGTGTGTTGCAATGCAACCGAAAACGCGGCGCGCGCATGGACTCCGCTGCTGTTTGTGTGCACAACCGCGCCGCGTCTGTGTTGGCGTCTCGTGTGCCCAAATCGCCACACTCGGCTGCGGACTGCGAGCAACCTGGCGGCCCCGGCAAACCGGCG